GCCAAAACTCCAGACGCGCTTTCAGTTCCAGAGTCGCTAAACAGGACTAGAACCGAGCGTGTGACCCCACTCATGAATTCCTCATTCGGATAGCCATCCATTGGTGGGGGTCCACGTTCGGTTCGAGTTCCAAGCCCGAAACGCGTCCGGGATTTTGACCGCCTCCACCGGTCTCCCGGCCCACTGTGCGGCACCGGCTGCGACAGGACAAAGCCAACAATCCAGCCAGACAAACCGCCTGAGACCGAGACGGCGGGCCACGGCGGCGGCTGGTACGGAACGGACTTCCAAATTATGCATACACCGGTCGCACGCTGTGGTCGCACGGCAGAGCGGTATCAACGTGCCGTCGGGTCCTGCCCGTGATGTAACCGCGAGGTTGCCCCCCCCCCTTTTCCCTTCCCCCTTTTGCCCTGGCGCGTGGCCCATCGGCACGCGACAACGGCCAGGATGCCGCCAGTATAGACTGATTCCGAGAGTCGTTGGCGCTGTCGCTCCGTCTCCCTCTCCCACCCACACGGGACTCCCTGAATCGGTGTGCAGGATTACGCACTTGTTTGTCGCGCGCGCTCGCCTTATCGCAGGGCGTGTTTGTTGAGGCCCATCGCCTATCGGCCGCAATCTCCACTACGCTATTAACTGCTCTTGTCAGTCAGGTGCATCCGCCAACCGCCTCCAATAATCGGACCAGGAAAGAACTGTTTTTCTTTTTTACGCTGCGCCTCATTGTTTATTTGCTTTTGCTTTGTTCTAGGAATCCCCCCTCGGCCTGCCGGGACACCGACGACGGCGACCTCTCGCCCCCTGACCTCCCCCTCCCGCCCCTGCCCTGCGGCCGTTGCTGTTGCCGAGTCCGGCCGAGTCCGGCCAGCCGCCCTGTTGGCCGCTTCGCCGCTTCGAGAAGCCGGCCACCGGAAGGGTCTCTCTCGCGCGTCCCGTAGGAGTGCGAGAGAGACAGAGCGACGTCGCAGTCCAGCGGGCCAATTGCCACCTGGCGGCTCGGTGCGGGTCGCTGCGGGTCGCTGCGGCTCGCGCGGGGGTCCTAAGTGAGCGAGGGTCCCCGTTTGGCGGGTGCGCATCCTTTTCTCGAACGGAAAGCTACCCGAGCCGAGGGCCGGCGGCCGGCCAGACTGCAGCAGACTGATTCTGAGAGTCGTCTTCGTCGCTGTCTCCTTCGCAACCATGGGGGCGTCCCGTACAGGTGCTCGAGAGACAGAGCGACGAAAACGACTCTCGGAATCAGTCTGCTGCTTGGCTGGGCTGGGCTGGGCCCGGTGTTTGGCCGCTTTGGTCCATAAACGCGCCGACGCCTTTGCAGTGACGGGCATGACTCGCCGGTCGTTATCAGGGACGGGCCGATAGGACGAGTGCCTCGCCGATGCCGCTAGTAAGTGCTGAGAGTAATGCCTCCTACTCCTAAACCCCTTCGGCGCGCTTCAGGGCTTCGAGCGGCCGTGACCGTGCGTCTGCCTATTCATGATGATGTTGTTCGGAGCATGACTGTCGCAGGGGAAGGTGTGGGTGTGGCACGTGCGGCGGTGCGCACAACAACAACAATAAAAACCAAAGCAACATTAGCAACAGCATCAATAAGAAGACGACACGCTTTGTTCGGAGCATGACTAAGTGGCAGAGGAAGGTGTGAGTATGGCGCGCGAGTGGCGGCTCACACGACAACAACAAAAACTACAACCACAACAACATGAGCGAGCAACAACACTGCACTGACAAACAGCAACAACACTAACAGCAGCAAGAAAGAACATTAACATCAACAGCATAACAACACAGAAGACCGGTGGAGGCTGTCAAAATGACGGACGCGTTTTGAGCTTTAGAGTCGCTAAATGGGACTCGAACCGAACGTGTGACCCCACCAGTGGATTGCTCTCCGAACGAGGAATCCATTGGAGGAATCCTTACGTTCGGTTCGAGTCCCATTTGGCGACTGTGGAGCTCAAAACGCGTCCGGGATTTTGGCCGCCTCCACCGGTCTTCTGGCAAATCGACTGTGCGCCGCCAGGGCGCGCCAGGCCGTCGTCGCTGACGAGGTGCTCCAACTCCAACTGCGCCGTACGTCGTCCGCGTCGCGCGTCGCGTCGGCAGGTCGACATCGGCTGGCCGCAACCGTGCCGCGACTGCAGCCGCACGCACTACTCGGCGCTGACGCCGCGCCACGCCGCGCCACGCCGAGCCCCTTGTTGTGGTCCGCGGTGGTGCGCGGCGGGCCGCCGTGTCAGTGGCGCCAACCGCGGAACGCGAAAGGGCGCGGCGAAGCAGAGTCGAGTGATTTCGTCGCTCTGTCTCTCTCGCACTCAGGGAGCTCTCCGTAAAGGTGCGAGAGAGACGGAGCGACGAACCGCGCTTTTGTGAATCGCAGCGTCCTGTCAACGCAACGCGGCACAGTGGGTTTGCCAGAAGAGCGGTAGAGGTGGTTGAAAGCCCGGACGCGTTTTGAGCTCCAGCGTCGCTAAATGGGACCTAAACCGAACGTGTGACTGCACCAATGGATTGCTCTCCAAACCAGGAATCCAAAGGTGGGGTCGCACGGATAGTTCGAGTCCTGTTCAGCGACTGTGGAGCTGAAAACGCGTCTGGAGTTTTGGCCGCTGGCGCCGCGGTCTTCTGGCCACTCCACTGTGCGCGGAAAGGCGCTGCGGCCGACCGCGGATCGCGTTTCGTTTCACATTTACTGGGCGATAAAGTCAAAGTCCTCTCGCTGAAACAAGCGGAGCTATTTTTGGGCCGCGCATTGACACTGAGTCGCCCTCTGACCGATAATGTTGCAGCAGCCCTTTGGCCTGGAGGTCTGAAGCGCATCGAAGCGCATCGGGGCAGAGCGAAAGCTAGCGAAGCCAAGTTGTTGCATTGCTTTAACGACACTGCAAATCCAACGCCACTTCAGAGGTGAGGCACAATGTCCAGAATTTTGAGCCCAGCCAAATAAACTCATGTGGCCGTGGTCAGATCGAAAAAGTTGACTATGTTGAGCTGAGACATTTTCTGGTCTGTCCAACAAGTTTTGGCGAGCCTTTCAGGTCCTGACCAGAACATTGGAAGACTTTTTGTCCCGCCAAATTTTGGCGCAGTCTCGCCATTCAATTTTCAGTGTATCGTTGAGAAATCAATAGCGATACAACGAGCGGGGCGGCGGCGGTGCCTGTCCGTCACAAAGCCTCGCTTCGCTGTGCTTCGCTGTGCTTCGCTGCTTGGCGCGCGCTGCCAACGAGGCGCTTAATGGGCCTGTTGTTGTCCGGTCTTGTTTTCGCGGCCGTCATGTGTGCCGTACGGAGTGCCGTACGGACCACCCTTCTCTCTCTCGGGTTGCACTGCAGTGTGGCGGCAGCGCCAGTGACGCCAGCCGGCGTAGTGTTGTCCACGCCGAGAAAAAAAACGGCGCAAGAGCCTCTATGTGCAAACCAGATCGCACTATTTCATTCCTGTTGCGTACAATGCTCTAAAATGTTGGACCGAACAGGCTTACGCGAGGGCTGACCGCGTTTCACGTTTGGATACTTGGCCCTCTTTACTGGACTAGCGAAACTTCCTAGACGGCCAACTACTTTGTCTCAACTAGGTCCTAGTCGATTACAATTTAAAGGGAATGATGGGTATCGAGCACCAAATTTAGGTTGATGTAACTAAACAAATCTGGTGACAAAATTGTAATCAGCCAGTAACAAATTTGCAACAAAAAGTAACAAAAGCTGGTTAAAATTTTGTGACCACAGTTTTGGTGGCCGATACCCAACATAGTTGGTTAACGAAGCTTGGACCTTGGGCGTCGTTCCGTTCCGCCCTCCCAAACACTGGGACGCCACTGCGCCTCAGTCTCGCAGGGGGTGCCGTGGCCGGCCGTGCGCGCAGGCTCTCGCGCAGACCCGAGGTCGTCGGTGGCGGGGCCCACGCCCTCCCCTGGCGCGGCCAGTGGCGGATCCAGCGGCCGCCAAAGGGGGTCCGTAGGGGGAAGGGGGCAAAGGCACACTCATGGGTGGCCTTTTGCCTACCAGTCAGGATCCGCGGATGTCTCGGTGCCATGAGGCAAACGCCCGTGCACAACAAAACCTGTGCCCTCTGTGCCCCCGCCTGGGCGCGGCAGTCGCGGCAGGCCAGGGCTGCGGCGTTGGAGAACCGCCGCCTTCCCGGCCGTGCGAAGCGAGTCGACTTGTTTTGCTCGTCCTGCCCGCCGCCATGCCGCCTTGACGCGCCGCGGGGTGCGAGTGTGCGAGTGCGCTGCGGGCGCTGCAAGGCGTCGCGGTGCCGCCACTGCATCGCCACTGCGTCGCTCCGCCGCTGCAGCCGGCGCGGCGCGTTCAAAACACGGCGTTGTTGACGGCGGCGTGGCAGCGCCGCTGGCGTCGGGGCGCGGCGTCGGGGCGCGGCGTCGCGTGGGGCAGAGAGCGAGCGAGACGGCACCGCGGCACGCGCGTGCGACGGGGACGGCGCGATGGTCGCGGTGGTGGGGGGCGGGGCGCGGCGGGGCGCGGTGGGGCCGCGGCGGGTCGATGTGAATCAGTCAGTGGCGAGCAGTGCAGCCGCCAGGATACCCCGGAGCAAGTCCACGCTGTGCCGCGACCAGCCGCGACCGAGCCGAGCCGCGCCGAGCCGAGCCGAGCCCTGTGTGTGACGCGAGCTGTTATCTCGCGTGAGATGATATAAACGGGCGGCCGCGGAGCTGGTCGTGCAGTGAGTGCAGAGCGCGTAGCGGAGAGGGCTGTGCGCTGGCCACCGGAACACTGGCCACCGGAACTGGCATGAGGGCGGACCTCCAGTCCTTTATACGACACACGTCTTCCGACCACTTCTCGGAAAAGCAGTGACAACCGCGAACCTATGGCGGCTTTTTAGCAAAGCTGGAGCTCTGTGATATCTTTTTATTTTTATTTTGTCCCCTTTTGGTTCCACCCTTGCCCCCCGTGGCGCCCCCTCCCCCTGTTTACTCGTATTCCCCGCCCTTTGGGACTTTACTGTGATCGTGCGAGTGCACCGAGATCATCGAGATGGCGTTGATACTCCCCGAGATGGAGAAGAAGCCCCTCATCCTGCTGGACAACGGACTCCCGCCCGCTGGTGAGTGTTTGAGCTGCGTGCACCCACGCCGTGGAGGGCTTTGTTTTGCTGCGCTGCTGCGAGCGTCGAGGCACGTAGGCCCTGGCGCCAGGCGCCTGTGCGCATGCGCGCTGCGTGCTGCGTCCTCGGCCGCCATGGCCGCCAGCCCTACGACGTGCTCCTGGACGCCCTGGAGCAGGCGAAGCTCGCCGTCGTCTATGCCACCAAGGCTTCCCTCTCGCCGTCGTGCAGTGCTCGGCCTGCAGTCGCTGCCCCCGCCCCGCCCCGCGATGCCAGCCGCCCTGGCCACCGAGAGTGGGTCAACGGAGGATGGTGGCAGGGGCGGGGTGGCAGGGGCGGGGCGGGGCGGGGCGGCAAGGTGCGAGGGGCTGCCGCCGCGACGCATGCGGACGCATGTCTCCTCAAATATCGCGGCCGCCGTGCTGCGGCGACGCGGCGACGCGGCGACACCTTTCTCAGACTTGACACTGTTCTCGCAATGAGGTGCGCGGCGTGCGCGCCCTCCCCTCCTGTGGCGTTACGCGAGCGTTTTGGCGGGCCGAGGCGAGACGGCCTCGGCGAGCCTCGCGGCGGGGATGGGGCGGCCAGGCAGGGCCAGGCAGGGCCAGGCCCTCGGCGTGCCCTCGGCCTCGGCGTCCTTGCTCCACTTCCGCGAGGGAACAAGCGGACCCACTGCAGGGCCTTCGCTCGGCAGCGCCGCAGGGACGGCGGGGGCGTCTGCGCACCGTCTCTCTCGCACCCTTGCGGGACGCCCCATGAGTGCGAGAGAGACAGAGCGACGAAAACAAAGCTCGCAATCAGCCCGCTGGAGGACTCGCCCGCGGGGGCTGCAGTCGCGTTGAGGGCGTCTCATCCCGAACGGCGACTCGTCGCTCTGTCTCTCTCACCCCCACGGCACCCACGGCAAGCCGCGTGAGCGCGAGGGAGACAGAGGGATGAAGGTGTCAGCCTGCTGGAACTGGAGCAGCGGGGGGTAGTCGGTACCCGCGGCGGGTAGGGTGTGGGCAGGGTGTGGGTGGCCCGGGCCAACCCCACATCGATTGGCGGCGCGGCGGCCCCAAGGGCTGCGGGTTGGCGAGTGTTTGTCTCGACGGGAAGCCTTGCGGGCTAGACCAGGCTGACCAGGCTAGACCTGAGGAGGGAGGCCAACCTCGCCGCCACGCGAACTCGGTGTTGTCGCGTGCACCGCAAGGGCGGGGCTCAGCCTCGCACCTCTTGTTCGTAATCCCCCTGAGACACGCGCCTTTGCCGGGGAGTATTTTTACCGACGCGCTTGCCACTCGAGCTTCGAGATAGGCGGTATTGTCCTAATCGGAGTACGCGGCGCGGCGGCCCAGATTGCTACCCGGCGAGCGGCCTGCGGGAGTCTAGGACGGCATGTGGGAGTCCAGGACGGCCTGCGGGAGTCGGCGGCGGAGCGTCGCGCCGGCGTGCTTGGCCACCGCGTCCACCGAGTGCCGCACGACGGCGGCCTTGGCGCTAGGCGGCCACCCTGCCGCGTCGCCGCGTCGCCGCGACGCGGAAGTGCCCGCCGTGCTTCCGGCCTTCCGGCACGACGGGCACCACGACGGCCAAGAGTCGTCTTCATCGCTCTGTCCCTCTCGCACTCATGGGGCGTGCCGCGAGGTGCGAGAGACAGAGCGACGAAGACGACTCTCGGAATGAGGCTGCTGGCCAAGCCTTGCCGGCGTGGTCGACCTCTGGACCACTTGATGGAGCTACCCCTGCGGCGCTAGCAGCCAGCAGGCCATTGGCCAGCCGACATTCCGAGCAGTATCGTCGCTGTCTCCCTCGCACCCCCGGGGACGTGCCCTGAGTGCGAGGGAGACGGAGCGACAACGCCCCGTGCAGCCTGCTGGGCGCCCCTGACTGCCTCGGTGCCGGGGGTCGTCGGGGGTCGTCGACACGGCGACACGGCGAGCACGGCCACCGCGGGCAGAAGGCAGGCAGCGCAGGCAGGGCGTTGGCACCGGTACACACCGGCATCTGGAAGGCACGGCCGAGTGACTGCGCCGTGGCATCGACGCGGCATCTCCGGCCCTCCTTCGTCCTTTTGGCCCTGTTGGCCCTTTCTGGCCGTTGCTGACTCTTGCCGGCCCTCACTGGCCCAGGGCCCGGCGGCGGTCGGACCGAAAGGCGTGCTGGGCGCGAGGCCGCCCTCCAAGGACGGACGGCGACCTGCGGCCTTCGGCCTGGCCGGGGCCGTCTAGAAGCTAGCCTGGAACAAAAGGCCAGAGGAAGACCGCCTGCAGTCGAGCTGTTTTGACGGCGCTGGAGAAACCGAACTGCCTCCACTCCGCGACGCTCCACGATGCGACGCCGTGTAGGCCCAGTGTAGGCCCGTGTCGGCCGACCGGGCGGCCGGACGCCGGACGGCCTGGAGCTCAAGTGGCCGGGCAAGCCGGGCGCGCCGGGCCGGGGGCTGCGGGCTGGCGGGATGACTTGCCGCCGCTGGAAGGCGAGAGGTGAGCGGGCCGGACCGGTTCTGGCGAGTGTGTTCACCGCGTTGGCTCCCAGCCTGGACCGACGGCTCGCCGGCCAGACAGGACGCCGTCGAGGAGGCTCCGCCTGGCTCAGGCCTGGCCCCGCCGTGCGCGGCCTTCTGCGTGCACTTCCGGAAGGGCGCGGCGTGTCGTCCTAGTGCCGCCGTGCCGTGCCGTGTCGTGCTGGCCATGGCGAGAACCGCGGCGACACAACGAAGCAGAGCCCCCCGGCCGGCCGCCGACAGCCCGCCGGGTCGTTCGCATTCATGAGTTGCGTCTGACGCCATCCTCGTCGCGGACACGTCCAATGGACACGTCGGCAAGCCTCGGCAAGCGGCGCCGGCAGGTGGCCTGATCGTCAGTTGTGTCTCCGCGGACGGACATGTTTTGAGAGGGGTAACAGACCTCCGCGCTCCGCGCCGAGCGCTCCATCCTAGGCCTACTGCTGCTGGCTGCTGCTGCGGCGGTGTCTTGCTTATCGCCGCCGACAACACCAAACACGTCGTGCTGCAGTACGGCGGCAGCCGCGGCGGCGTATTGTCGCTGACGTCGCGCTCCACCGCAAAAAAATTTGCGCGTGGCCGCGGCCGCCGCCGCCTCCGCCACACTGCATTTCGGCGGCGATGAACCGTCAACGTCCTTGTTGGCTTGCCGGCCTGTCGACGCGCTTTCTCGCGTGTTTTCTCTGCATTGGCGTGTGTGTGTGTCGCGCGCACGTGTGTAGGCGTGTGTTTGTGTGTGTGTGTGTGTGTGTGCACGCGCACAGAGGCCGGCCGTATCACTCGCCGCTTGCAGTGCCCGTCCGCCCCGCGTCCCTCGCGTCCCCGCGTTGCCGCCTTACGACGCCAAGGCCGGCCTAGGTTGGCAGGCGTGCGTAACACCGCACAGCTGTGCCGCTGCGCCTCGGTCTCCGCGTTTGGGTTCAAAATAATAACGCGCCTCGTTGCCAACCTCTCCCCCGGTGCACCTGCATCAGCAGCGCGATCGGCACCTGCAGGCTGCACTGCCCGCCGAGTCCGCCGAGTCCGCCGCCTGCCTGCAGTGCTATGCAGCGCAGGCCGCGGATCCAGGATATTTCTTAGGAGGGGTTAGTGTAGCGATTGTTGCCTACTTAAGGGCAATGGCGTGCTTGTTGCCCACCTTCCAGGCGGCCTATACCCAAAACGGTTGGGGGTGGGGGTGAACGATTACCCCATCACGCCCCTGTACCGTCGCCGCCGCCGCACCTGGCGCGCCGAGGCGGCCCTCGACCGAGGTGGCCGTCGAGGCGGCGAGGCGCGCGGTGCGGTGCGACCCGTCTCCTTATCGGCGCACAGAGCGCCTTCCCCTCGCCCGCCTCGCCTTCGGTGCGTCGGGGGAAAATGGAAAGGTCGAACCGTCCCGGTCCGTCCCGGTCCGTCCGCCGCCCAGCTCACTCTTTTTTATCGGCGCGCCATCTGCCGGCCGCCAAACGAACTCGCGGTTGTCGCAATTGTCGCGCAGCCCGTCGTAAAAGTAAAACCCGCGGAGAAGACAGCAGCCGCGCGGCAGACTCATTCCGAGAGTCGCTTTCGTCGCTCTGCCTCTCTCGCACCCATGGCGCGTCCCGCGTAGGTGCGAGAGAGACGGAGCGACGAAGACGACTGTCGGAATCAGTCTGCTGCACGGCACTTCGTACGAGAGGCTGTTTACTTGCTTTGCGCGTCGCGCGGCGCGCGGGGGGTGCATGCGACAGGGGGCGGTTCGGTGCCGGCTAGTCATGCAACTTGACGGCTAAGTTTAGTCGGCCTCGTCATTGTGGCCGTCAAGCACGCGCGGCGCGGGGCGCTTTCCGACACGGCCCGGTGCACCGCGAGCACCGCGAGCACAACAAGGTGGGCGTGCGGGGAAGGCAAGCGTAGATCCAGGGAGAGGGGGGGTCTGTGAGTGAGTGAGTGAGTGAGTGAGGTGTCACCCCCTCCCTTGAAGCCGTATCTGGATCCGCCCCTGGGGGAAGGCCAGAGCTAGAAGGCCGCGCTTTAGCGGGACGATAACGCTCGCGCGAGCGGCAACATGCCGTACGATTAACGACCCGGACTCAATAGCTTTGCCACGTGCCGAAGGCGACGACCCCCGAATCCGAGCCGGACAGGCACCCCGCCCCGCCCCGCCCCGCCAATCAGCTGCGGAGGGGCGGCTCTGACCTTGTGGACGGGCGGCGGCGTCGGCGGCGTCGGCGCGGCGGGGAAGGCCCTCGGCAACAAGACCGAGAGTGTCCTGTAGCTGCGAGGCACGCGAGGACCCGTTTCGGGCACTGCCGGCAATGCTCATGTTCATTGTTCGGCTCGGCGGAGAGCACTTTGGACCTCGCGTGGCTCGAGGATGGCCCGACCAATAATGAGCCGGCAAGGCAGGCTGTGCGCCGCGCCCAATGGCGGACCCAAAGGCGGCCATTCTTTGCCCGCTGCCTGGGGCAAAGTGTTGCTTTGCCCTTCAAGCTGCCGTCCGGGGTGTGTTGCCCTTACCTCCCTCTGGGTCCGCGCTTGGCCGCGCTTGCCAACAGGAAGGCCCACGGGGAATGCACGGCGCGACACTGCAGCGACGCTTGCTGCAGCCCCAAACAACCGGGACGGGAATAGCGACGGGGACAGGGAGGCGGCGCGGCCGGCACGGCGTTCCATTCATTGGTTTCATGGCTGAAATTCCTCTGTTGCAGGTTCCCGCCGCTCGCCGCCCATGCTGGTGGTGATGGTGGGTCTGCCGGCGACGGGCAAGACCCTCCTGTCCAAGAAGCTAGCCAAGTACCTCAACTGGATCGGGCACAAGGCGAAGGGTGAGTGCCCACTCCATCCGCCACACACTCAATTTCATGGACGATTTTGTACGTTACGTCACGTCACAGTTTTGTTTTGTGCCGATGAACTTCCTGGACGATTTATCGTACGACGAACTGCACACACTGCTCTATTTTTGTGCAAAATCACGAACAAATTAGTACAAAAAGCTCATCTGCACAAGAGACCGCAACGTACAGAACTCGTACCGAAACGTTAAGAGTGCACGACTCAGCCCCACGTCTGTCTACTAGGACAGTACACTCGACAGGGTCACTCATGTTTTTCTTTGAATTTGCTTTCTGGCAGTTTTCCGCGTGAGTGACTACCGCCGCAAGCACGTCGAGCTGTACAGCCACGACCTGTTCCGCTGCAGCAACAGCGAGGCCACCGAGATGCGCAAGAAGTCCGCCATGGAGGCCATGGACGACGCCCGCAACTACCTCCTACAGGGCGGCCAGCTGGCGGTGAGTGTCCGCGGTGTAGCCACTGCAAGGACCTGCATTGTAGGGGCCAGAACCCGGAAGCGGCGCAGGAATGGCGAGTGTCGGCGATCGCGCCGCCGGCCAGCCAGCCAGCCAGCCAGCCAGCCAGCCAGTCAGGCAGGCAGTCAGGCAGGCAGTCAGGCAGGCAGGCAGGCAGTCAGGCAGGCAGGCAGCCAGGCAGGCAGTCAGGCAGGCAGTCAGGCAGGCAGTCAGGCAGGCAGGCAGTCAGGCAGGCAGGCAGGCGCAGCATGCCGGCTCGCGGGGGCGGAAGGCTGTCATTAAGCCCCGGGTGGCCGTCAACAAAGTAATGACGGCTTGGTTTTTGGGTTTTTGGCCGAGTGCCGCGCCATGCCGCGTCGCGAGGTCCAGAGAGATCTTGAGAGAGATGCAGAGGCTGAGGTGGCCTGTCGAGCGATTCCGCCGCACGCACTCCTCGCCCTGTCTCTCTCGCACTCGTGAAGTGTGCCGTGGGGTGCGAGAGAGACAGGGCGAGGAGCGCGGTCCGCTGTCCAATTAGTGTGGGGGTCGCGCGGCGGAACAGCCGCGGTGGCATGGGGCTGTCGCGCCCTCACCCACACACCCTCCGCGACAGCGGCGGTGGCGTGGGTGACTTACAGGGTCTGATGCCTCCGTCTCTCTCGCACTCCGACGGCACGCCCCATGAGAGCGAGAGAGACACAGCATACATTGAGCGAGAGGTTCCGACCCACATACCCCCTTCGACCCTTCTGTGGCGCGGCTGTCCCGACGACAGGACGCAGGCCTGGCCGCCCGGCCCACATGTGCATACCCTCCGCGACCCTTCGGTGGCGTGGCCATCCCCCGGACGCAGCACTGGCATAGCGTCCGACTCAGTTACATACTCTTCGCGACCTTTCGCGACCCTTCGCGACCCTTCGCGACTCTTCGTGACCCCTCTCGACCCTTTGCGACCCTCCGCAAACCTTCGCGACCCTCTGCGACCCACCGTGACCCTTTGCGACACTTCGCGACCCTCCACAACCCTTCGCTGGCGTGGCTGTCTCCCCGACGACGGGGCGCCGTCTAGCTCACAGCCCAGGGCGTCCGCCCCGCGGCCCGCGGTGCGACCCACATACCCTTGGCGACCCTGGGCGGCACGCCGAGCGGCACGCGGCGGCACGCGGCGGCACGCCCTGCGGGGGTCAGCGGCGTGTCGTCGTCGGCGTCCCGGCGGTCCCGGCGGTCCTGGCACGCGCCAAAGGACGCGGCGGCAGGACGTTGCATTATGCGTGATGAGGCCGATGAGGCCGAGACGCTCGTTTGTATGCGGAGCGTTCGCGACAAAGTCTCCGCCACAAAAAGAAAACCAACAAAAAAGAAATCAGCGAGATTTATTCTGTTTTCTCCGCCTGTCGACAGGTGCTCGACGGCACGAACTGTGACAGGGCCACCCGGGCGCAGGTCATGGACACCTTCGGCTGCCAGCACAAGATCCGGGTGCTGTTCATCGAGTGCGTCTGCGACGACGAGGACCTCCTGGAGAGCAACACCAAGGTGAGTTGCGGCACGCGCAGATTGCCAGGCTGGGGGCCCATAAGGAAAGGGCGGGACCAGCAGAGACGGGTTGAGGGGGGGGGGGAGAAGAATGCCACAAAAGTTGCTACTGGGGTAAGTGCGGACTCTTTGCCTGCCTTTCAGACTGCTTCGCCGCAACCAGTGCCGGATCCAGGGCCGGCCCCAGAGGGGAGGGAGTGGTAGCATTTTTTGTCCTCTTACAGCGGCAAAGGGTGGCCTTTTGCCTGCATTTCAGGCAAAAAGGGGTCAAGGGGTGGGGGCAATGGTCCTTTTGCCCCATCTTTCTGGATCCGCACTTCACCAGGACCCTCCCTCCACCCAGGATCAGGGGGGAGTCGAAGTCAAATTGCACTGCAACTCCACGCGCTTTTTCTCCACCGCGGCGTGCGCGCTTGCGCGGCCTTTGCGAGGGCTGCTCTCCGCGGCGGTTTTCCCCTGGGCCTCTTGGCGCCGCTCCCACTCTATATGTGCCGCTAAAGGGAAACATGCGCCGCCAAGCCGCGGCCGGCGCGTGCACTGCCAAGTTTATTTCGGTGTAGGCCCTGCCCTAGGGTGGGGCGTGGTCGCAGGCTGTCTCTCTCGCACCCTTAGGGCCTTAGGGGACGCCCCCTGAGTGCGAGAGAGACAGAGCGACGAGAGCGGTGCTCGGCCCGCTGCGCGGGCGCGACGCCAAACCGCGGCTTCGCGCTTCGCGGCGCGCTGCCTCTGGCTGCCTCACGCCGCATCCCTGCACCGCGGGGATGTTTGATGTTGTGGCGCGTTTCCTGGTCGAGGACGTCGCACAGTGGATTTGCCAGGAGGCCGGTGGCGGCGGTCAAAATCCCGGACGCGTTTTGAGCTCCAGAGTCGCTAAGTACTCGAACCGAACGTGTGACGCGTGTGACCCCACCAAAGGATTGCTCTCCGAACAAGGAATCCATTAATGGGGTCACACGCTCGGTTCGTGTCCTGTTCAGCAGTGTCTCAGGAGCCGGAGTTTTGGCCGCCAGCGCCGGTCTTCTGGCAAATCCACTGTGCGTCGTCGGCGGGGCCTCCTTGTTGTCGTCCAGAAAGCCCGGCAGCAGCCCGGCCACTTGCCGGCCGCTCAAGGGTAACTTGCAGTGACGTCATCGCGTAGGCCGGCGAGGCCGACTAGAGCAGCGGCCAGCCGAGCGGCTGCCCGATGGAGCGTAGCGTGTCATTACGGTGCAGATTGCAGTCAAGTCGATTCAATGGGTTGAACACTGACGCGTGAAGCGAAGACCGCGAAGACCGCGAAGACGAGCAGCGGAGCGGGCCGGCACTTCCCTGTCGCACCACTGCAGCCACTGCACTGTTTTTCCCCCGGCCACCTCACACAATGGGATCACCGCGTAGAGTTCCCGTGAATCATCGCGACGTTTTCGCGGAGCAGCGCTCGGCCTGCCGGGCCTGCCGGGCCTGCCGGGCCTGCCCCTCATTCCGAGGGGCCGTTTCGCCACTGTCCCTGTCGCACTCGTGGGGCGCGTCGAAGGGGTGCGAGAGAGACGGAGCGATCCTTCGGACCCAGGCGGCTGGATCGCTGGGTGCGCCCTGCCCGCGTTGTGCACCACAGGACAGCCGAGCCATTCAGAAGAGTCTTTTCGTTTTCGTCACTCTGTCTCTGTCGCACTCGTGAGGCTCTCCGTAAGGGTGCGAGGGAGACAGAGCGACAAGCGGCTCCTCGCTCGGCAGCAGGCCGTTGACTCCTGCATGTCGTCGCCGGGAGGTCTGCGCGGCGCTGCGCGGCCTGGTTCGCCTCGGGGCGAGTCGGCCAGCCCGTCGGCCAGCCAGCCGCAGGGCAACCCGAGGGACAGGCTCGAAATAGAACGCGTTCTCCGAGGGCCTGCACACTCATTCCGAGAGGCGTTTTCGTCGCGCTGTCTCTCTCGGGCTCACGGGGCGTCCCGTGTTGGTGCGAGAGAGACAGTGCGACGCCGGGCCGGCCTGCAGGCAGCCCAGGCAGCCCCAATGCAGGGCAAAGGGCAATGGAGGCGGCTGGACGTCACGCCGCGGGGCAGCGGGGCCTTGACTCGCGGCGGCGTAACCTCCTTAAGGCCGTCCTTGGCCTCAGACGGCACTCCAAACTTTCCTACGGTTTCGCGAGGGTTGTTGTCGTGGCGGCACGCGCCGGGAAGCGAAACCAGTGCCGGCTCCTGGCTCCCGTCGCGAGGCTAGGAGCTACTCGACGCGGCGGCACGCGCCGGGAAGCAAAACCAGTGCCGGCGCCTCGTCCCCGTCGCGAGGCTAGCAGGGGCTCGTCGGCGCCGCGGTAGTGGCGGCGCTGTGACGTCCGCGACGCCCTCGCGTGTTTGCGCCCATGGGCTGTGCCTTGGGCTGTGCACAGCGTAAGGCGTTGCCTGGCGTTGCCCGACGTTGCCAGCCGCAGCGACGTCGGCGACGTCGGCAGGGCCGCGCCCCCAGCGCGTCGCGTCGCGAAGGCTCGGCCGCAAATCACGTTGGCAGTGGTGCTGCAAAACAAGACCGCACCGACCAACGGGAAAATGAAAACAGGCTCCGCGGGTTCGGGGAAAACAGCCGGGGCATTTTTAGACTTTTTATTGGCCGGTGCGGTGGACGATGAAAATCTTGACTCGTGTTTTTGTTGTTGTCACTTGTCCCCTCCGCGCGACCCCTCTAACCACGCCGCGTTCGTCTGCTTGCAGGAGATCCTGAAGCACAGCTCCGACTACAAGGAGATGAACCTGGAGAAGGCGGTGGAGGACTTCCGCCTCAAGATGGAGCACTACCTGGAGCAGTACCAGACCATGAGCGCCAAGCGCGAGCCCACCGTGTCCTTCATCCGGCTGGTGAACGCGGGCGAGACGGTGACGGCGCGCGGCATGGACGGCCCGCTGCACGCGCGCATCCTGAGCATCGCGCCGCTCTTCGCGCCCACCGCCAAGACGCTGTACTTCTCGCGGCACGGCGAGAGCGAGTACAACATGCTGGGCCGCATCGGCGGCGACGCCGACCTGTCGCCGCGCGGCCGCCTGTACGCGCAGGCCCTGTCCCGCTACTTCACGGACAAGGTGCGCGTGCCGGGGCTGCGCGTGTTCGTCAGCGAGAAGAAGCGGACCCAGCAGACGGCCGCCGGGCTGCCCGCCGCCTACCAGGTGCTGCCCGCGCTCAACGAGCTGGACGCCGGCGTCTGCGAGGGCCTCACGTACGAGGAGATGCAGGAGAAGTACCCGCAGGAGTTCGCGTGGCGCGACCGCGACAAGCTGCGCTACCGCTACCCGTGGGGCGAGTCCTACGTCGACATCTGCCGCCGCCTGGAGCACGTGCTGCTCGACCTGGAGCACAGCAACAACGTGCTGGTCGTGGCGCACCAGGCCGTGCTGCGCTGCATGCTGGGCTACTTCCTCAACAAGGACGGCGCCGAGCTGCCCTACCTCAACGTGCCCCTGCACACCGTCATCAAGCTCACCTCCGAGGGCTTCAACTACCGCATGGAGATGGTGCGCCTCAATGTGGAGTGCGTCGACACCTACCGCAAGCAGCCCCGCAACTGCAGCGACGTGCGCTCCGCCGAGGAGGCCCTCAAGACCGTGCCCAAGCACTTCGACAACCTCAAGTTCTGGGCCAACGCGCCGACGCCTCTGATAGAGCAGCACTAGGCTTCGCCACAGGTCCTAAGTCGCTGCAGGGAAGCAGCATTCACTTGAAAGGAAGCAACATCGACTTGCAGGGAAGCAACATCGCCTTGCGGGAAAGCAACATCGACCTGCTGGGAAGCAACATTGACTTTTGAAACGCGCTTCTGCTGGCCCTGCGGGCCCTGCGGGCGTCGAGCACCCTGCCGCTTGCCTCTGCTAGCGTTGGCACTCCCAACTCCACCGGCGGAGCGTCGCAGCGCTGCGCAGCGCGCCTCGAATGGATCTTCTCGTCTAGTTTTAAGTCGGCGCGGCGACGGCGCCCGCCTCGCTCCTTTGCCCTTTGCCACCGTCAGGTATTCGAAACCGGTGAATGTCGCCTAGTTTACACGAGAGCGCCTCAGTGTTGCCAGAATGCATTAGGCATGTGTGCTGTAGAAAATGTGGCGCGGTATTTTATGACAGAGCCCGAGGTTGTGTGCGTTGCCGCGTGGCGCGCCGCCGAGCTCAAAGTCCTCGCTTGTATTAGAAGGATCACGCGACCAGAGTCGCCTATTTACTTACCATCGCTCTGTACCCAAGTGAACGGGTGTATCGTCTCAGCCTGTGCAAATGTACATAAAATATGTAGAGGATTTAACTCAAACTAAAGAATGCATGCGGGGTGGACGTTGTCTGTGCAAATATTATAGTCCACGAAAATCGCGAATTCTTCTTGCTGTAAACTTATTGTTTCTTTAAAGAAAGAAAATCAGCACAGAGAACACGCTCAAAATCTGGGATTGAAATCCTAAACGTCATCGCTGCTGAATTCGAGATTGGACTTTGTTCACGGTCAACTGATAAAAGTTACCTAAAACTTGCTACAAAATAGAAGCCTCTTTAGATGGACGTGGAGTCCGAGGTCGTGCGTCACGCAAAAGAAAACATAATACTATTAATACTTAAAATTAATAACAAGAATATTACTAGGGACCGTGTATGTCCATAAACTTTCAATAATATTCCAATATCCGGTTGTGCTGCGCCATTTTTCATCGTCGTCACCATCATCTTTTTGTTTCTCCTTCTCGTTATCGCTGTGATGGTTCGAAGTCACGGCCGCAGGTCGCCATCATGACATGAGCGCCCCTCGCGGCCGGCAGTGCTCCCAACGCACCAAATCACTTATTGTTTTTGAAAAAAAAAGGAGGCCGGCTGTCGCGATTTTTTTTAAAGCCTCGACGTCTTCCGTAAATCTCATATTGTTTACCATGTACTATTTTATAATTATGATCGGGAAATCTGGTCCGCGCGGCGCTCAATAGATTCTATTGCTGTTTTTTTTTTGTCTTTTTTTTTGAGAGAATAGAATTGGCAGCACGGATAGTGCCTGAATCTTGCACGCGCGGGCTGGCCACCCTGTTATAGGGAAGTGTGTCGTGTACGTGAGAGAATGTTTCATTTTTATTTTCACCATCCTCGCAACACATCATCTCTCTTTTCATCATAGACTTGTTTAGCCATTTAAGAGTACATGTGAGAGTGAGTGAGACTGTATGCTTCGCGGGGGACCGTACTTCCCCGAAATGTGATTACTATGTAAGTCTTAGGCATTCTACGCTATGAGCGGTATTTCAGACTAACTATTAGGAGACTCAAACCATATTGGTTTCATGAAAGGGATCGCGCTGCCTGTTTTGTCAAAGTGATCAGTATTGCTGTGCCTGTAGCAAGACTTTTGAAATATCCTGTAGAGTAGAGTGTGCCTTTATGTTTTTATGATTCTCATATTTGTGTCGCGCGCCGTCGGCGGGACGCACCGGTCGCCAGTAGGACTTTAAGTGGCGTGCAAGTACTTCCCTCGTTGCGATAGTGGTAAGGAATCGAGCTTTATGTTTATATAATAAGATCTTTTTTGTTTGTATAAAAGATAAAAATAGAGGGACCGATGCCTTCCGCCAAAGTCGCCCGCTGGCTTGCCAGCAACGCTGCAGAAAATGCCGCATATTGTTTTGTACTGTGAATTATCATTATGTTTAATTTGAGCATGAATGATTTATAATATTAATAAAAGACTTTACTTTCGTACACTGAAAACAAAGCCCTCTTCTTCATTTATTTGTTCACGTCCTCCTCCCCCCTCGTTACGACATCGCCGCACACAACACTTCAAATCATCTTGCAAGACTTGATTGGGCGAGCCATGAGATCAAAATCGAATGCAATATCCGATAAGACTCCTACCTGCGTCGCCCAATGACTTCAATTAGATATCCCACAGCACAGAAAAACGGGCTATGACATTGACACTCAAGTAACCTCGGGTTTCGTTTTATGCCTTTAAAATAATCTTTACTTTTTCTCATGCTTCCTCTGCGGTCTCAGCCACCGACACACATGAACACGTCCTTACTTGGAACCGTAATTATTGTTCTTTGGATTCAAGACGTGTAAACTGAGGAAAATTTTGTTATGGGAGTCAAACCCTGAACATTTTTTGAGGCACCCGCTTCCTTCGTGCTATGAGCCACCGAGACACTCAAACCTGTGTCGCCCGAACTTAGACCGGATTCTGTGATTGAGAAGTAAACTGAGGAAAATGTTGTCACGCTCGGGAGTCGAACCCGGGTCCCCCCTGGGGGCGGCTGCTGCCTCTTGCGCTTTGAGCCACCATTACGCCTGGGCAATGTCTCGCCCAAACTTAGACTGATAGTACCGGTACTGGTTTTAAGAAGTAAAGAAAGACTGTTGGTACGGGAGTTTTCTTTAATATTAAATACTTTATAACTTATCCTATACATTTTCAAGAAAACCAAAACATTCAATTCGATTAATCGAATAGCCTATTTCAGTCCACTTTCACACACATCTCCGCGCAGGCTCGACAAATGAAGGCCTCACCTTGAGCTAATAACTTAAGGCCTTAAATTACTGAGACGGCGGGACGGCGTCACTGCACGGCCACTCTATCTCCGCTATCAGTCGGGCCGCGCGCGTCGCTTGGCGTCTCACTTGGCGCTTCGCTCCGCCACTGCCGCCACTCTCGACTCGCGGATTGGTTGATCGACGGTCGATCGAGGAATCGCTTGTCTTCACCGCAGCCTGGCGCTGCCGATGTTGTTGGTCTTGGGGTCGCACTTGGTGCCGCGGATCAGGTCCGCCACGCGCGCCGACTGCACGCGGTAGTTGACCTGCAACAACACCACGAAGAAGAGAGAGACTCGCCGCGCGGGCAGGCAACCCAACGCACGCCCGACGGGGGCCGATGGGGGGCCGGACAAACCTTCCCAAGTGTTTTGAGCGGTACCCTCTCAATGTCTTACGAGGAGATTTTCCACCAGGAAACGGCGCAAGTATAGTGCGAACGGAAGTTTATTTTCGTGCGACACGAAGGCTTTTCTTTTTACGTCACGATGAAAATCTGAAAGAGGTTCGTTACTGTGGAAGAACTTTGCCTCGTATTATGCTTGCGCCAAGTTCACTGTTACATAGCTGCAGTTCAAATTCGATTGCAAGACATTTAGAGTGTACAAACTGTACACGAAGTATTGAGTCGTAAATTCCAAGTATGAGTAAGTAAATTATGGTATTTTTTCTGAGAAAACTTCGCTTAAAATATTTTGTAAAAAAAAAAACATAAATTTTGTCCGCCATAGGCCGATTATGGTGGGACTTTTACATTGCGGGCGACTAAGGCCGCACTGCCGCCTCGAGAAAGCGGGGGGCGTGGTCGGCGTGGTCGCGGAAACTTTGGGGACTCCAAAGGATTCAGTGCCAGAGCGAACAACAAGAACATAAGAAATGACAACAGCGGCGGCAATTGAGGGGGACACTACACTCTAAAGTTGTTACGGAGAAATGCCTTGCAGCAGCCCACGAGAACACGAAACGTCCACGGTGACGTCATTTGATGTCAAAATGGGCAAAACAAAGGTGACGCCATTTCGACTTTCTCTGTCTCGTGAATGTTTGGTGTTCTTTGGGAGAAAAAATTATTCATAAAATGCAGGAAAAGAGCCAAATTATTCGTGAGACACGAATAATTAGAAATTTAGAGTCCATAATACGAAGAAAAGAATAAATTTCATGTTAAGACGTTTGGAGCACTATGCAAAAGGACTTTCCATCCAATCAGAGCTAGATCGTTTCATGACCGATGCAAAGTAGGCCAGAAAACCGGAGGAGGCGGCCAAAACTCTGGACGCGTTTTGAGCTCCGCAGAGTCACTAAATAGGGCTCAAACCGAACGTGTGACCCCACCAATGGATTGCTCTCCGAACGGGGGATCCATTGGTGGGGTCGCACGCGGCCTGAGTCCCATTTAGCGGCTCTGGAGCTGAAAACGCGTCTGCAGTTTTAGCCGCCTCCTCCGGTCTTCTGGCAAATCCACTGTGCGACGTCGCGGGGCAGGTCGCGGGCGCTCACCTCGTTCCAGTTCATGGTGCCCGTGATGAAGCGCTGGTACCGGCAGCTCATGACCCACAGCTTGCCGTTGCGCACTTTGACGCCGCTGGTGAACTGCAGCGTCTCGGGGTCCTTGGCCACCACCTCCAGGTTCCAGCCGGCGTAGGGCTGCTCCGAGTTCCAGCACATGAGGGCCAGGTCGGGCAGCAGCCCGGAGAACAGCACCCCCTGCTCGGACATGGCTTGCGCCGCGGACTGCGACGGCCTGAAAGCAACAAACAGTGTTATCTGGCGTCGGGGAGGTGGTTCACTGTTAAAGCCGAGTGGAGTATGTTGACGATGATGATGGCGTACCTGGTGTGGTCGAAGCTCTTAAAGGACGACGACGCCCTGTTCTGGCCGCGGGGGAAGTTGTCTCGGTTGCGCAGCACGGACGTCTTGACGTGGTTCTCGGTGCGCGAGGCCAGTGCGTGGAAGTAGAGCGTGCGGTCTTGGTCGCAGCGCGCCCCGTGGCCGTGGCCGTGGCCGTGGCTGTAGCTGCCGCCGCCCTGGCCGTGCTGGCCGCCCTGGCCGCGCTGGCCGCCGCACTCCAGCGGCCCCAGGGCCAGGCCGAACACGCCGTCGGGCAGGTAGAACGTGGAGCCGGCGATGGTGTGCGTGGAGAAGGCTGGCTCCGGCAGCGTCAGGGGGTGGTTGACGCGCCACGCGGACTTGCTCTGCGGGACAAGGGTGTTATTCGCAGTCAGGGGGTGGTTGACGCGCCACGCGGACTTGCTCTGCGGGACAAGGGTGTTATTCGCAGTCAGGGGGTGGTTGACGCGCCACGCGGACTTGCTCTGCGGGACAAGGGTGTTATTCGCAGTCAGGGGGTGGTTGACGCGCCACGCGGACTTGCTCTGCGGGACAAGGGTGTTATTCGCAGTCAGGGGGTGGTTGACGCGCCACGCGGACTTGCTCTGCGGGACAAGGGTGTTATTCGCAGTCAGGGGTGGTTGACGCGCCACGCGGACTTGCTCTGCGGGACAAGGGTGTTATTCGCAGTCAGGGGGTGGTTGACGCGCCACGCGGACTTGCTCTGCGGGACAAGGGTGTTATTCGCAGTCAGGGGGTGGTTGACGCGCCACGCGGACTTGCTCTGCGGGACAAGGGTGTTATTCGCAGTCAGGGGGTGGTTGACGCGCCACGCGGACTTGCTCTGCGGGACAAGGGTGTTATTCGCAGTCAGGGGGTGGTTGACGCGCCACGCGGACTTGCTCTGCGGGACAAGGGTGTTATTCGCAGTCAGAGGGTGGTTGACGCGCCACGCGGACTTGCACGAGGCAGGGTAGCTTTGCGCGACCGAGGGAAAATTTCCCGGTAGGCGGCCTTGCTGTTTGCGTGGGAGGCGTTATCTCTGACAGAGTGCAGGTGGCCGTAAGTAGAACAGTGATACAAGCATGAGCCAGCAGCCGGCATAAAACGGCGACACCGCGTTTTCGACCCTGTCTCTCTCGCACCTCCACAGCACGCTCCACGAGTGCGAGACAGAGACGAAAGCACTGTTCGACATCGGCCTGCTGCGATGGCGGTGGCCGGCAGAGCAGCGGCGGCAAGATTAGCCCGAGACAAATAATTTTCGAGCGTGTTAAAGTGCCGAACGTTCGCGAAAGCGCGACAGCTGGTGTTCACACCTGACTTGTTTTGGGATGCGCCGCGAGTCGATAGGACACGGTCCACTATTTATCAGCAAAACTCTTGACACTGACAGTGCCGCGGTCCTCCGCTTCGGCTGCGGGCCGTGATGCAAGCGCCGAAAGTAAATACGACGGCCAATTTAGTGCCGCGATCCGCGATCTTTGATCGGCCCTGGCAACGTGATTCAGATCCACGTGGCGGCCCCTCCCCTCCCCTCCTCGCCCACTCTGCACACAATGAAGCCAGCGACCGCTGTCCCATCAACATTTCTTCGGCGTTTCGCAGGGGTACGCCGAGGTTTACTTACTACTCGCTTGCTCATGTCGACGAAAGGACGCGGACGGACAGACGAACGTGCCCAGGTGCCACGTGTCACTGTCTCGTAGAGACAAAGCACGTTCCGAACGCGGGCGGGCGGGCCGGACCGGGACACTCACCTGGTGGTCGTACACGATGAGGCCGCCGATGACATCCGCGATGTAGACGAACGTGTTGCGGCCGTTGTCCCGGACGTCCACCACCGGGGTGATGAGGTTCGAGCGGTTCAGCAGCACGCTGGGGGAGAACTCGTACTTGGACAGCAGGCGGTCCGTGTTGAGGTCGAAGGTCATCAGCTTGGGCAGGCACTTCTTGTCGTCGCCGCGGTCCATCACCCACAGGCGGTCGTACTCGTCCACCTGGCGGCAAAGGCATCCTCGCGGTGTAGGCAGTCGTTGAGGCAGGCGCGTCGGATGGGTGGCCTACCTGTCGGCGCGCACACTGCAAAGCCTCCAAAGCCTGCGGCAAGTTTGCTTGCCGCAAAATCGGCAAGACGATTTAAATGCCAAAAATTGGCAAGCTTTGAACCGAAATCTTCATTGGCTCGCCAATATTTGGGGAGAGGCTTGCGAGACTGCCTATCCTTGGCTTTGCAGGCGGCAAGGGTGTTGCGGGACTGCCTATCCTTGGCTTTGCAGGCGGCAAGTGTGTTGCGGGACTGCCTATCCTTGGCTTTGCAGGCGGCAAGGGTGTTGCGGGACTGCCTATCCTTGGCTTTGCAGGCGGCAAGTGTGTTGCGAGACTGCCTATCCTTGGCTTTGCAGGCGGCAAGTGTGTTGCGGGACTGCCTATCCTTGGCTTTGCAGGAGGCAAGGGTGTTGCGGGACTGGACTGGACGCGTCTAGAATTTCGTCCGCCTCCACCCCACGGTCTTCTGGCCCACTGTGCGCTCGGAACTCACCGCCACTCTGAACACGGAGCTGATGGAGCGGCAGTCGCCGTGGCGGTGCCAGCTCCAGTCCGGGTAGGGCGCCATGAGCGGGGCGTGCGGGTCGCCCTCGAAGGACACGGTGGCCAGGGTGGCGGGGACGCCGTCGTCGGTCGGCATGGTCACGAACACCTTCTTCCTGCCCGCTGCGAACACAGATCGGGGTCAGCCGAGCAGAGTCCTCTCGGCGCTCTGTTTCCGTCGCACTCATGGGTTCCTCCGTGCGGGTGCGAGAGAGACAGCGATAAGCCCACCTTCTGAATCGCCCGGCAGAGGCTGCGAAAGTCGCGTAACGGTCGCACGGCGGCGGCGCGGCGGCGCGGCGGCCGGGACGCAAACTCACCCTTCTCCCAGATGTCCACGTCCAGCGGAATGATCTTGGTGTAGTTGTAGGTGCCCGAGCGCACGGCGTTCCTGCGCTCCGAGTCGCTCTGGAAGGCGAAGTCCATCTTCTTCCAGCCATACTCCAAGTTGAGCGGCGACCTCTTCTGGCTCTCGTGGCTGCCGCCGTGGTAGCTGCCGCCGCCGCTGCTACCCCCGTAGTGCTCCCCGCTGCCGCCGTGGTAGCTGCCGCCCCCGCCGGGGCGGTGCTGCGAAGACGAGCCGGGCCGACGGGAGGGGCCTCGGTGTCCGAACCGGTCTCCCAGGTCGACGCCATCCGCCGCCGTCGTGGACTCGGTGGCGTTCACCTTGGAGTCCTCCGTGCTCTGGGACGACACGCAGCAAGCCGCCAGCAGCAGCAGCGCCAGCAGCCTCATGGTGGTCCAGGCGCTACCTGCGGGCAGATAGCCTATCTCAGATGGGGCTGGCGAGGGCTCCGCGCGGTCGCTGACCCTTGTTATCGTCCGGGCCCTTCATCGCTTTCCTTCCTTGCCACCTCCCCCCAGCTTCCATGTCCACACTGGCCACTGGCCCTTCCCCGCTGGCCCCTCGCTTCCCTTCGCGCTGGCCCTTCCTCGCTGACCCTCCCCGTGAGCACTTCGGCGCGAGCCCTTCATCGCTGGCCCCTCTGGTCCTTCCCCGCTTGCCCTCTTCCTCTGCGGGCCCTCCCCGCTGACCCTTCCCCACTGGCCCTTCCCCACTGGCCATCCCGGCTGTCCTTGGCGGCGGCCTTGAACCCTCCGGGCACAAACACTCACGGCCCCGGACGCCCCGCGGCCTCGCGGCTGCGACGGCAGACGTCAGGGCAGCCCGCGGCGCGTGGCCGAGATTATATCTGAGGACCGCGTCGTCATGAGAAATCGGCGCGGTTCAGGGAAAGGTCAAATAAAAGGCCGTCTTCGTTTTGGCCGCTTCCGTCCGCATCCGAGGACGTCGGACAATGTCGCTGGAGTGCGGGCCGCGCGCTGTGCGGCGCGCAGCGAGGCCGGAAACAAACCTTTTCCCGGAGTTTGTCGCGCCGCGACGCCGCGACGCGCCGCGCGTCACGAAACTCCAATCGCAGCCGCGAGCCTCATTACTGCGCCGCATTTAATTACCACTTCTCTGGCACCGCCGCCGTCGGTGACCGAAGACCGCGCGTGCACCAAACAAAAATATCTCGGTATGAAAAATCGGGCGCTGCGCGTTGCGTCGCGTTGCGTCGCGGCCCTGACAGATAACGGTTAATCGCGGTGCCGTTCTTGACCCGGGCGAGGGCGCGGCACAGCTTCCGCCATGTCGGGGTCCTCGGGGTCGCTCACCCTGTTTCGGCGGATCGGTGGTCCTGGCGGGGCGTGGCGGGGCGTGGCGGGGCGTGGCGGGGCGTCACTGCACTGGTTGGTGTCGGCCGGCGCGACTGCACTGCTGGCGTGTTGTCGTGTTGGTCCGCTGCGCTATCCTCCGCGTCTCGCGCCACTCTCCTCCGAACTGTGTTGACGCCGCCGGTGCCGCAGCCGGCCGGCCGCCGCCGCGCGGACCCGGCGACCCGGCCCACCGGACAAGCGAAGGGGGCGGGGCGGGGCGGGAAGGGAAGGGAAGGCCGGCCGGGGAAGGCCGCTCAAGGGGCGGCGGGCGAGGGAAGGCGGCCCGAAGGCGGCCTCAAGTCGGCCGACTGCACACAAAGCGCGCCAGATTCCGATCCCCGGAGCAGTGTGATAAATTCGAGCTGCACGTCAACGCGAGATTGTAAACTCGGGGACGCGATTTTACAGTTTTGGAACGCAGCCGCCGGTGACGCCAGCAGCGAAGACGACAAAAAAGAAAAGGAAGAGCGATTTTAAAAGGCGGCCGGCCGGGAGTTGTTTCTCCGCGTGGACCAGTGTGGTGGACGCGAAGCTCGACGCGAAGCCTGGATTAATGATGATTGTAGTTTTTCGCCGGCCGGTTGGCACTGCTGCCCACTTAGGTCCCCGGACAGGCCGCCGAACAGGTCATCATCGCGGAGACGCGCGGCGATAAGAAGCAGGCCGGCCAACCCAAACAAATCGGCGGCATTATAACCTCCGCGACGTTGGCAGCCCGCGCGCTCGTTTGCGCGCGAAAAGCATCTGCAGCCAGCAGACTGATTCCGAGAGGCAGGAACAGGGCGACGAAAACGACTCTGTCTACTGATTCCGGAACGGCGCTTCGTCGCTCTAACTCTCTCGCACCCCTGCGGCACGCCTCGAGTGCGAGAGAGACAGAGTCTGCCGGCCGCGCCGCGCGTTCAATCCACTGCCACTCATTATCAGTGAGGCTGGGCTGGGCTCGTGGCGCGTCGCTCAAGGCTCTCCTGTGCGCGGAGCGAAACTAGAAGGTAAGAGGGTGGCAGAGCGATGCACTGAAAGGTTCGATGTCACTTAAAAACAATTTCAAGGCTTATTTACCTTACAAGAATGTCATCATTCGAGTTCGATCGAGTTCGACACCTCGTAAGAAAAAGACCTTACCTTTTCCTGGCGCTAGGGAACCATGCCGGGGGGCTTGGATTCTATCCATACTAATCCTTAACTAGCACCTATAGTTTGCCACATTGCAATTAGTAGGAGCTTTGTTAAAACGCAACCAACTGGCATCGTTTTTCGTTTAAAACCACGTGATGAAAATTTCGCAAACTTCTTTTTTCATAAGTAATAGCAATTTTTTACAGTGTAGTCCGACTCTTGTTTACCATTTCATTCTGACTCGACGGCGAGATGTGCTTCCAGGCCGACGACACCTGCTGCAGCACAGCGCCTCGTCGCTCTGTCTCTCTCGCACCCTCACGGGCCTGCACTGCACGGGCCCGCTCAAGCGACGACGAAGTCACTGTTTCGGAATGAGCCTGCAGCTGCGCTACGCAAGAGGGTCAAGCAGGGGAAACACAGGCAGGCACACTGGCCGCGCGGCGTCTGTCGAGGACTAAAGAGTAAAGCCCCACAGCGGCAGTGAGTGCGTCACCGCGGACAGTCGCCGCCGCGTCTGAGGACCGGGAATTCCCTGCGTGTGGAATAAGGACGTGATTGGCGTCGCGCGGCGAGGCAAGCAAACGGGAGAGTGTATGGTGTGTGTCCGCAGTCGAAAGAAGGCCTGCCAAGCATCTGCTTTTCACGACACAAGGGGCGGATTCAGGGGGGGGGGAACCGCCTGAAAGGTAGGCAAAAAGTTGCACGTTTCCCCTGGGCGGATCCGCAGACGGCCGTCTGGGTCGCCTTGCTGCAAAAGTGCTACTTCTTGCCTTCTGGCCCCTGTTCAGGCATGCACATGAATTGAGGCAGTGTAGAATCGCGTGTAGAATTGCCCGCTGATCACAAAGGATTTTGTTTTATGATACGAGGCATTTCTTCGTAGATTTTAAAAATGCCTTGCAGCCTTGCATTCGTTTTCTTTACGTTGTGTGGGTGTGCGAGCCAGGCGGACGCGGGCACCGCCACCTGCCCAGCAACCCAGCAATCCCTCAGTGATTTCCTCTCTCCCCCCCCTCTCTCTCTCCCCCCCCCTCTCTCTCTCTCTCTCTCTCTCTCTCTAGGAGCCAGCGAGGAAACAATGCTGGTTACCATGGAGACCCCTGCCGAACTGTGGCCCTACCAGGGCCTACTACCCGAGCCGCACGGGGCCTCCACGCACCTCCGCCTGAAAGAAACCACCAAGCCGCACCAGGTGCCGGAGGGCAGGCGACCAACACCACAATGCTGTACTACATATCCGTCTTCCTCTACTACACCCTGTTCTTCCTCTTCTACCCGAGCGACCACCATAATGTGTAAGCAATCCCGGGCTGGAAGAGCCGCCGCTGCTTGAAAAAAATCTGACAACCGTGCGGTTATACCCGTAAATTGTGACTTTAATCGAGCCTCATGCTGTTGTTGTCCTTGTCGCCGGTGCAGGTGCGGCGGTCGCGGCGGCTGAGACACCGTCCGAGGATGCCGCCGAGGGAGTCCGCGGCGCGGCGGGCACGGCGGCGGGCACGGCGGCGGGCACGGCGACGACCGCGCTGAACTTGACGACAGCGACGGGCAGCGGAACCGCAAGGACGGAGCGGGCTTGGCGTCCGCCATGGCGGACGGAGGGTCACGTGGTCGCTGGCGCCGCCCACTTAAAGTATTAAAAGGCAGCCACGAGGGCAACGCGCCGCCGCCGCCATTTCTCATCATTTTCGGCGGTTCAGTTGCCGTCCCGCCGCCGGCGCTCCTCGGCGCGCCGCTTCACGTCGCACCACAGGCGCAGGCTCACGTAGTAGAACAGCTCCACCAGGCTGATGACGCTGAAGCCCGTGAACAGGCCCAGCAGCCCGCCCGTGTTGGCTGCGGACAATGGTGGCTCTCAAAACCGGCACGCTAAACGTTCATGTAGCACGTGGTGATGCATGAAACCCTGTGTCACGTTTTGCATTAAATTGGGCCCAAATTTGCACAAAATTATGCATCTTTACGCATAACATTATTCAAATCCCACGTATGCACGTACAAAACTCTACATAAACATTGTGTGAGAGTGTGTGTGTGTAGGTGTGTGTGTGTGTGTGTGTGTGTGTGTGTGTGTGTGTGTGTGTGTGTCTGTCCCAAAGCTAAATGCCTACGTCAGCGGTTCCCAACCTTTTTCGGTTCGCGACCCCAAATTTGTAGCCTAAAATTTCCGCGATCCCCAGGCAAAATTTCGCGACCCCACGTGACCCCTCCTTTAGCATGCCTTTGATGCAAAGTGCGATAATCCGGCTTAGTTTGGAAGCAGTATTGTCTCAAAGTTGATCAAAACGGTTACAAATGTCTGTGAAAAATCGTGTTTTGGGCCGACTTTAAGCATCTACTGCGTCTGATCCGAGGCGGTATTTCGTCCTCCCTCAACGGGCAATTGGTCTTTGGACCTTCCTTTTGCATGCCTTTGTTACGGAAAGCGATTATCTGCCTTAGTTTGGGAGCAGTACTGCCGCAAAGTCGATCAAAACGGTCACAAATGTCTGAAAAATCGTGTTTTGATCAACTTTGCGGCAATACTGCTCCCAAACTAAGGCAGATATTCGCTTTCCGTAACAAAGGCATGCAAAAGGAAGGTCCAAAGACCTATTGCCCGTTGAGGGAGGACGAAATACCGCCTCGGATCAGACGCAGTAGATGCTTAAAGTCGGCCCAAAACACGATTTTTCACAGACATTTGTGACCGTTCCAAGCGCCCCTCCAGGCGCCTGTTTAGAGAGGTGGGTGGGGGGTTAATTACCCCTATTACCCTCCAACTAGATCCACGGCTGGTCTGGTTGAGTATAAGCTTACTCTAAATATATTACTAGCCAGCAGGGTGCTTCTGTTGGCTCAGCAAACAATAAAATTTGAGGTATGTGAATTCGGAACAAGCATAAAACGAAGAAAAATGTCTGAATAATACGAATCCTTTTTGGATTTTCAGTGTAAGACTCAAAGAAAAAGTATGAGGAAAAAAACTACGCTTTGCTATCAATATTCCCTTTGTAATATCATGGTAATGTGGGAAATTTTTTCGCGGGACTCTTAGAGTGTAGTCCGGCATTGGGGATTTCAAGGTGCCGGCAGACGTGCCGCCTCGTTTTCTTGTTGTCGGTGCCCGCAGGCCCGCAGTACGCACCCAGGAAATCGGTGTGGCCGTACAGCTCGCGGCGCTGGCTGGTCACGAACTGGAGAGTGTCGAAGTAAACGTTCAGTTGGGATCGGCTCAGCCTGCGGACAAAGAAACGCGCCCCGTACAAACCGAAACGTTTAAGTCCGATGCATAACGTAACTTTCAGACGTTTGTAAGCGTGAGACAACCTGTGTCCCAAGTTTCAAACGTAATCGATAATATGTGGTTGTCCCTTCCAAGAAACCCGCACGTGCAGGTGTAGGTATGCCCCAGTTAGTGCGTGCTGGTACACTGCTGATATACCGATTTAAAGAGCAGAGGCAGTAATATTTTTGACGTTCCCGTTCCCACCTGTCCGGTTCCAAACACTGCCCCACGGTGCATCGTCGATCTATCTCGCACCCAATGAGTGGAAAAGAGAGACAACCAATCTGACCGAACATAACACTTCTGTTGGTGGCTTCAGCGGTTTAGCCACTCATCTTGTGGCTTCGGAAGCTGGCCTCTCCTACACTGCTTGCTTGAGAACAGTGGCCTTTAGCGCCTGTGAGATAGGCCACCCTTCCGTCCCGCGGACACCGGCGAGGAGACGGTGGCCTACCTTGCCCTGTCAGGCGCGGGGTAGGCCAGCACGCCGGTGCGTTGCGGGACAGAAGGGCGGCCTACCTCGCAGGCGTTAAAGGATGGACGCTACACGACAGCTGTTGTACCTTCACGGTGAGACCGCGGCCGATATTCAAAAAAAGCTTTGAATGCTTTGTAAGTTGCAATGGGAATAAAGGAGTTGCTTCGGATAACGAAGAATTGCTTCGTATTGAGAAGAAAGTCTTTTGTAATACAGACCCCTAATCACACGCTGAGTGTACCGAGATAAGTACACACTTAAGCACGTCCGGAAATATGCAGCTGAAGGTGTGTGCACTGTGCTGGGAGTGTACTTATCTGAGTTCATTTTGCCGAGTGACCTCATCTGAGTACATTCTGCTGGAAGTTGGCAGTATGCTCATCTGCGTACACTCTGCTCGGACTTGGGTGAATCCACCCTACACTGACTGCGCTCTTTGCTGAGTGACTCAACCCACCCCTGCGGAGTGGAGGGCATGCGGCGCGCGATCCTCTCCATGTTCCAGGGGAAGTCGAAGCTGGTGGCCTCGCCGTGGTAGTGGAGGGTCTTGCAGGAGGGCAGGCAGTGACACTCCTGCGGGATGGGCCCGTCGAAGGGAACCTTCTCCGCTTCGTCCAAAAGTTCCACTGGCGAAGACAGATGCTTAGCTCGCTTGAAAAAACAGTACAATTTTTCACAATGATACCAACACTGATTTACCATAAGTCTTTAAGTTGCACTGGCTGAAGATGCTGCACATCGGCACCCCTGGCGGAACTGCGGACACTTGTAAGAGATTAGTTTTACCCCTCAAACGCAACAGCGTCTTACACTGCGAAATTCACTGAGTACTTATTACACAAGTACACGTCTTGAGCATATCAACAAAAAATAAAAAGAGTACTCAGTACCCGTAAGTTAACCTACAAACACGGTACCCGTAAGGACTTGAGTGTGTAGACAAGTATAACTTTATTGGGGGCATTGGACAAGGACACTCCGGCCGATGAGACGAGCGTGTACTTTGGCAAGTACTTTCGTATGGATAGATACGTCCTTCCTCAAGACGTGTTCTTGCTCGAGTACACTTGTGCCTACGACGCACGGCTCCGTGACGGAGACTCACTAGGTAGTCCGATGGGCGCGCAGCCGCACCTCCTCTGCGTCATGTTGGTGAAGCACTCGTAGATGCAGCTCTCCATGGAGTAGTAGCGGTAGTAGCGCAGCTTGCGCTCCGTGGGGAAGTAGCAGGACCGCCTCTCGGGGCTGTAGTCCTTGAGCCCGTCCGTGGTCGTCATGAGCGCGGGCGAGGCCAGCAAGTACATGGACGTGTTGAGGGGCAGGGCCGAGTAGTGGCGCGTCCAGCTGGGGGCGTGGGCGGGGCTGTGCAGGTACACCTGCGCGAACAAATCGACAATGAGCAACTACTAAAATGCACAATAATTCGCTGGCCGGAAATATTTCTTAAGATCCAAGATCACTGTTGGATTCATCCCAGAAGTGTTTTCTTGACACAAGTCGGCAGCAAGTCTTGTGCGTTTTTGGAACTTCAGTGTTGTGTTTCTAATGGATTGCACTTTAGAGACACCATTTCACGAGTGATTCTCCCGCATCGCTTACACTACCGGTTCCGAACCTGAGGGACGGGACTGGGGTCGCGGAATCTAGGTTCACGTGGAGCCTTACCCTGAAGCCCTGCTCGCAGCCCTTGCAGACGTAGTCCATGTCGGCGTCCGCGGACTGCAGGATCACCCTGAATCCCGTGTCCGCCCCCACGAACTGCTGCCGCCGGGGGTAGTATCTTTTGATGGTGGCGTCCCCGTCATCGTAGCCACCGTCCACGCTCCAGCCGGACGACGGGAATTCGGAGGGGCCTCGCAACGACTCCTGGCTGGACCAGAGTTTTAGCGATAAATCCGAGTTTGCGATGCCCACGGCACGAACTATCAATCGATCAATAACCTGCCCAGGGCCCAATAACTAAGTTTATTGATACAGTTTGCTAAACGCCCGTCCACGCACCTAATGCATACTTGACAATATGTATGCATCTGCGATAGTACATATGCTGTAGGTGTGCACTGAGTACACATTTCGGTTTGTTGCGCATCTTTGACGCGCGCAAAATATTCATTCCGAATCCTCACGTTTCGTTGGTGTAGATTTCATGCGGGCTGAGGCCGTTGAACGTGAAGCAGACGCCCTCCTCCGTGAGCGTGCGCATGAAGTGCTTGGAGCAGTTGAGTTGCCGGTGCTGCCAGTAGCACTCGAGGATCACCTCCTCCATGGTGGGCGCGACCTGAACAGCGACACTCTTAAAATTTGGTGTCCCTTAATGACAAACAAGTGGATGACATTCTCATCACTTTCAAATGATAACAATGTCTTCACAAATTGATGACCATTTAGCTCCTATACTTAAGGCATGTGCATGACGACAATAACATCAACTGGTTTGATAACAATCCTCTCTGTAATTCAACGAACGTGAAGTCGTTGGAGCGTGACACGGCCGTTTAGTCAAGATGTCACATTCGTTTGAGTTTGAACGTGGATCAACGTTCACGAATATAGCATCATTTGAACCGAACAAAGTCTGTTGGCGTGTGGAGTGGCGTACCTCGACCAAGAAGTCGTTCGCCGTCGCGTTGAGGTGGTAGTTCGGCGGCATGGCCTGCGGGATGCAGATGAGGGACAGGGCCTGGTACTTCCAGAACCTGCGCCGAGTGTGATTCAAAAGGACAGCGTGGCGTGGCGCTTGTTACCAAGTTACTCTATCGATAAACGCGTACATTGTATGCACTGCACTGTTAGAAAAAAAGTCCGTAAATTTACGGAGAAAGTTACTCTAATTTTGGGAATGGAGGCTCCGTAAATTTTCCATATTTTTACGGAGATTTTCCATATTTTTACGGAGATTTTCCGTATTTTTACGGAGATGAACCGCATTTTTGCAGAAATAAACGCATTTTAACGGTTTACTTCCCTCCTTCCACCTTCGATTTTAATGCAAACGGTGTCCTTTTAGACAAAAGTGATATTCTCCAAAACTGTTTGAAGATCCACTTGACCACATGCCATTGCGGAAACCCAAAGGCGAGGTCGCTTAAGGGAAGGCGTACTCTTGGAACACCTAATCAGTTGGTCACCCAACCCATCGATAACGTGAATTAGTCTGTTCTTTTTGATAAGTAAGGCTTCTATTTCATTTATATACATAACTTCCATATTTTTACGGAGAAAATCCATAATTCGAAAAAACGGAGATCTCCGTTAAAAAAAATGGACAGTCTCCGTTAAATTTCCGTATTTTTACGGGGTTTTCTGACAGTGTGTGGAACATACTCTCCAAATGTAATGCACAATTTTGTACGAGACATCACAGTGCTCTTTTTTGTGCAGTTAAACTTTTTGTACAAAGTTCGTACGAAAAACGGCACATATTTCCCTACTTTTGTATGAAATCACGTACAAATTTGTACGAAAACATTTAGTGTGTACCTGCAAGCACGCTCTGGCAAGCGTATACATACTACCAGGCTGGCACCTATATGCCATGGACAACTGAACCTGACACAAGCAATCACTAGGGCCAGGGCGGAGAAAAACCGAAAACTGCGGAGCGGGGCAAAATGGCACACCCCTACTTTTAGACTGAACTGTCTCATTCTGATTCCGGGAAACACTCCCAGCTGGTAACCTACACTATCGCAAATAAGTATTAGTAAATAAAAATGAGGGAACCCAGTCAAAAATAAGGGCGTCTGATTTTTCCTCCTCCGCAAGGTCCGAGGCAAGGTCTTCCTTTCTCTGACCTAATGCTTCAGTTAGCGCGTATGCCTCAGTTGGCAGACATGCGCTGGAGAGCGTGCTTGCCGGTAAGCTCCAGCCATGGTGCATTCATTGCACGTTTTTCGACGTTTTTCGATTTTGTCGAGTTGGTGCACTTACTCCTCCTCGGTGGACACGTTGTCCAGCACGTGGTGCTGAGCCAGCGTGTAGTTGAACAGGGCCGGCTTCGTCTTCGTGGAGGGGCAGATGGTGACGGCGGGGAAGGGCACGGACCATACCGGCGTCGGCTGGTCGGCGAACGTCACGATGACGGGGCAGGTCTCCCACTTCGTCCACACCTTGGGGGTGGACCGGCGGCAAAGCAGTGTCAACCCACGGGGAGGGGGGGGGGGTAACACGATAAAAACGGTACCTGGGTTTCCCAGAAACCCCTGGAAATCGCCCATGTCTTTACCATAGGCTTCCTGGGGAAAACCAAGTACCGCGGTACTCACCTTGCTGATGAGATACAAGGACACCGTAAAGCAGAGGAAGACGCCAAACACCCAAAAGGTCCTTTGGTGAAATTGAAATTCCGATTAGTTTGCGTTTCACATAGGTGCAAATCTGAACACTCTAAATATCTTGCACAGTGAAATTTGAGCTACGTTTCAATTAATTCGGAGAAAGCATAAGTTGATACGAAGCAAAAGTTCTCCATCAAACGATTTTTTTTTGGTTGTCATTGGAAGATACAAAGAAAAACCCTTGGTAATCAAAGAAAAAGTTTTCTGAAAATTAAAGAGTGAACATGATTGACTCTTATTGATAGTCTACTTAAGGGTTGGTGTAAATCATCATTATTTGTTTCACAGGTCTGTAAGAAAGAGTTAACATGGTAGGTACACTTTAAAGCACCTGTGTTGTTATATCGGGCGGGATGGCCTTTCAAATTAGAGGAACGTGATGAGGTGGACACTTTTAGTATACAGCATGCTCGTCCATTACGATAATAAGCGTCAACTTGCCTCATTATAGGAGTCAACCATGTAGTGCACTCTTCAGTTTGCAGAGTACGTTAGGACTATGGCAAATCTCTTCGTAAGTCATTTCCACTCCAATTCCAAACGCCATGGACATAGCACGTGTGGTGCAGCATTGAGACATCGCACCACACGTGCAATGCGTCCCGAAAATGCCCGATGATAATGTATGGTAAGGCATTTGCACTTCATGTGAAAATGCAAAATTAAGCTTTGCACCAATTGGTGCAGGAAACGTCTTAAAACGCATTGCACCAACTGACGCTATACTGGCGTTTGGCTTCTCAGTGCAGTTGTCGGCGCGCACCGTTCCTGGACGCTGCGGCCCTTCTCGAAGAAATAGCGGAAGCCGTGCACCGCAGTGTTGTTGCAGTAGTCCCTGCAGATGGTGCGGCAAGTGAGCTTGGCCTCCCGCCTGCACTTCTCGGCCTGGATGGAGTGCGGCCCGCCGAACAGCGAGTGCGAGGACGTCTTGGACAGGCTGGACAGGCCCTGTTCCTGAGCGAAACCAACATGAACACGAACCATTGGAGGAGAGACGCGTTAATCTGGAACATCTCCCGTGATATCGAATGAATGCTGCTGCTGCATCAATTTCGAGTTAAGGGGAACCCCATGCAAAACGATAAAGCTGTTCTATCTGACAGGTCTGTGCTCGTCGTTTGCATGAGATTTCACACAAGACGAAATTGACGTCGCATTTCCCGTTATACTTCTTGTGTCGTCGAAAATTGGTCAGATGCCTCACTCTTTGAATGTCAGTGATACCATTACACTCCAAATTTGGCATGTTCTGCTCCACTGGTTGGCATTGACCTCCAGTTTCTGGGCACTTTTATCGACCTGAAACTGGCCACCTGGGATGCTCGTATGCACGCTCTGTCATGGGTGAGGGCCAGTTGCGGGATGATTTACAGGCCCCTAGGGTGCCCAGAAACCGGGCACCATTTTGCGCCCTAAAAGTGGAGCGAATGTGACGGCACAGTCGTTAGGATGTGAATTTTTTGGCATGGGCGTTTGAATATGGTGTCACGTTCGTTTGATTGTTGATCCACGTTTAAACGAATGCAACATCCTGATTCACTGAAAATAGAAAGTTGATATTTTTAATCCTGTAAGGGGTGATACTGAAATGTATTGCCGAATAAGGGTGACCAAAAAATGGTGATACTTTTTTGTATCGCTCTTGAAGGTTTATACATTCCCGCGCTAAACAAGTGCCAGTTTCGCTGATGTCTAACCTTTTTTTCGCTCATACATTTGTGTATGACCTATTTTCGGTCATACTTGTTCACGTTCCGACGAATATGATGCCATATTCGTTGAATTACAGTGAGATGCCAAATTTGGATGCCAAATTTGGAGTGCGTTTCAACAAATCTAATTTTTCGGCACCCTCCCCGGAGCAGGACTCACCCGGTCCTTCCGCAGGTGCGGCGTGGCGGCGCCGTGGTGGTTCATGGCGGCGCAGGGCGTCGTCGGCGCGGTCGTCGGCGCGGTCGTCGGCGCGGTGGCCGAGGCTGGCGACAGGCGGGGCGACGCGACGGCCTCCTTGGCCTTGGGTGCCGATGGTCCGGCCCGGCGCACCCCTCGCTGCGTCGCCGAGTGACCCAGCGCCGCCCAGCGCAGCGCGGCGTGTCGGTGAGTCTGGCGGGGGAGGGCCGGCGCGTCCGAAACCGCCGAGTACCGCCGGGCGCCGCCACCAGGGCGCGCGGCAGGGTGTGTCGGGGCGGCCGTCGTCTCTTTAATGAGGCACACATTGGCGCCCCGGCGCGACGCCCCGGCGCCCCGCTTGGCCCGGCACGACGTAGCGTGACAGCAGACTGATTCCGAGAACCGCCTCTGTCCCTTCCGCACTCATGGGGCGTCCCCTGTAGGTGCGAGAGCGACAGAGCGACGAAAACGACCCTCGGACCCAGCCTGCTGGGAGGTCATTAGGTGATGGCCCCTCCCTGCCCTGCCCTGCCCCTGCCGCCCGTCCCGGAGGCCCCGCCGTGTTTGCACCGGCCACTCGCGCGGCATATCCAATTCGCTGGGCCAACAGGTCGACCCCGCGTGAGGCCGCAACACGCCGTAACACACTGCCCGGGTGAATCGATGCATGCGATGGGGCGTGGATGACAAGGAGCTACTCTCGAGACGTGTCATTACAATTTAATCGAGTAGAGTTAACATTGGTTTTCGCAACAACAAAGTTCCAGGCGTGGATCCAGAGACGGAGCGATGGGGAAGTCGCGAAGCAGCGACCACTGTTGATGTTTGGGGACAAAGAGAAGAGATTTTGGCGGATTTTGCAAGACTTCGCTCGATTTTACGCCCAAAATTTGCGAGTTTTTTGGCTATTAGAGGGAAGACTTGACATTTCTACAGAGGTTTCGGGCGCTGACAGCCTCTCAAGGCGTCGTCACCCCTCCCCTCTCCGCACTGAAGCGGGGAGGCAAGAAGTCACACTTTGCCCCTGCAGGTGGGCAACAAGGGGAAGTTACTTTGAATCTCGATGCCCAAATAAAATGAATTTCGGGCAACCACTTCTGAATTTTGGGAAGAATTTCGATGAATTCTATTAAATTTCAGCAAATGTCAAATTTTTGATGAATTTTGGTGGGCAAATTTGACTAGAATTATTTCCCCTTGCACTGTGAAAATTTGTTGTGACTTTATGACAAGAACGTGGATGATAGTTTCGTCACTTTCAGATTATGACAACCTCATCACAAATTGATGACATTTTCATCAAAGCTCCTATATACTTATTGCATGGGCGTGACAACAATGTCATCAATTGTTTTGATACATTGTTGTAAGGAAAATTAGCCTTGAAATTGTCAGCAAGTGACGACTCAAATTTTCTCAGTGCGTGGCAGTCAACTTAGCGACATTTCCCCCCAACCCGGCTCTGGGTCCGCCCCTTGCAAGTTGAAGGCTCAGGGCTCGGCCTGCACCGTCCGGTGGCTGCTCGGCGCCTGCTCCGCGGCCACGGCGCTGGAGCCGCGGCGCGTCCGCAGCTTGCCCAAGGTCCCCACCAGCGAGGAGAAGCGCGCACCCAGGCCGCTGTTGCGGCGCTCGATCAGGTCCTCGATGGACACGCCTGCGGACAAGTCGCACAAGGGGCGAGTAGGGCGTGGCCGGCTGGAAGGCCACTGTCAAAACCTTACAAAAGGCCTTACAAAGAAAATTAGTTTGTCATCACAAATTATTTCGGGCATGCATAAATCGGCATAAATAAAATCTTCGTACTTTACTATTTTTTTCGCATAACAAACTGAACAATTTGTTACCTTCTGCTCAAAATGCTTTGTAAGGTTTTGAGCATGCGCATGCGGAAACAAAGTTGCCTGGCTGGCACCCAATGTTAGTTAACACGACCGAAACTTTTATTTTCTTCAATGCGCTTCACACTCTTAAAACCTTACGAAGTATTTTGAGCATACGTATAACAAACTAAAATACTTTGTTATACGAAGAAATAGTTCGTAAATTACGAAGTATTTTCTTTGTAAGCTTACGTATGCTCAAAATACTTTGTTATACAAACTACTTTTCTTTGTAAGGCCCAAAATAGTTTGTAAGGTTTTCTCAGTGCAAGAAGAGAGTCAAATCTTCCGGCGTTTGGTTACGCTTTTACGAAGCCTAACGTTAGGCTTAGACTAGAAGCGCACCCTAGACAATTTCACCATAACAGACAATCTTGGCGATACAACTTTTAGAGTGCGGTCCACACTCAAGTCGCTTCGTATTATTATGAGAGATGCTTCGCATTACGAAAGCATTTGCTGCATAATGCAAAGCATTTCTTCGTACATTTTCGTAGACTGTTTTCTGGCAAATTTGCTTGCCACAAAATTGGCAAGCCTGGCCCTGGTACAATCCAGATTTCGGGTCAAACCTTGCCAATTTGTGGCATTCAAAACGGCTTGCCAATTTTATGGCAAGAAAATTTGGCACAGGCTTTGCAGTGCAGGCGTGTAAATCGTTTATGCCCTATCAGCATGTTTGTCATGCCTCTTGGCGGCCGAGGTCTTTCCCAGTGCTGCGACCCGGGGATGTGACACGTGTGGCACTCACCGATGTCGCTGCCCTTGCGGTACGTGTCCCCCCGCGGGCCGCCGGGGCTGTTGCACACTGAGGCGTTGGCGGAGCTGCTGATGGACTGCGCCAGGCTCTCCGTGTCTGACTTGAACTCGGCGCGAACGCGGTCCAGCGCTGCCAGCACACAAACTGCACTCTTTCAAAGTCTTCCAAGCATTTGCTTCACGAGGGAAATAACCGCATTGTGGTATTAGAAATGACGACGAAATAATTTTGCTTCAAAACGACGGATTTCCTTGTAGATTTTGCAATGGCTTCACCGTGAGTGTGAGAACCATTAGTGGAGAACTCCACACTTGAAGTGCGGATATGTGGAATTTTCAGTGTCCGCAATGCAGAGTTTGCAGTCTCCACAGTTCACTGTGGACTTTGCACGATTGCACCACGTGTCAAGAGAGGGGATCTGTGAGCAACTCCTACACTTCAAGCGTGGAGACGACAAACTCGACACGTCCAAGTGCATAGAATTGCTCAGCAGCAGGAAGTATTGGTCTAACGTGTTCGTTTCCCTCGACGCGCAACGCTTCGCAGACGTTTCGGACGTTTCGGCGTGGGGCGGCGATACCCCGAGCGCTACGTCGGTGCGGTGCGCAGGGTACGGGGCGTGGCCCTCGGCGTGGCTTACCTCGCTTGAGGTCCATGTCGTCCATGTCGGCGTTCTGGATGCGCCGCAGCTGCTTCTGGAACTTGCGGGTGATCTGCTTGCGCACGTAGTCCGCCTCGATCTCCTGCTTGGTGCGCGGGATGCGGAAGCGGATGCAGCAGCAGAGCACCACCACTGTAGGCGAGACATTCAGAGTACACACACTGTACATAGTGCATGGCGCACGCCACCTTGGTATAGTCTGGCAATGAGACATCGCATTCGTTTGGACGTGAAAACAGTTTTGTGGCACCCAAGCAGGTCCAACTGTCGAGAACGTACCTAGCGCGCAGAAGGCACCCGCCACCATGAAGAGGAGGTGCCACACCTTGACGCCGGGCACCACCTCCTCCTCCAGCCAGGCGGGCTCGTCCTCGTCAACCTCCGCCGCCCTCACGGTGCAGTTGAGCTGCAACCGCCAAAAATCGTTTTCAAAACGCTGTGGGTGGATCCCGTCGCTCCACTGGGGCTCTCTAAAAGCTCTGGGAAGAAATTTAGGGCATTTTTAAGAAATCCTGCAGTGAAAGTGAAAGGATGCACTAAAATACATGGTTGAGGATTTTCTCCGCACGCGAAAGAAATTTGACAAAACATGTCACTCAATATTCATGTATTACAATATCACGTGAAAGCAGAGCATCTCAGCCCGGAAATCGAACACAGGCCGCTAAACACTGTCCCAGAAAGACGCACGCATGCATTGATTCTCTCGAGCCACGAAGCACAAGTTCAGTTTTCTAACGCCTGCGAACTACAAGCTAGGCCTGCCCGCCAAGCACCACTGTGTCGTTGGCGGCCTACCGCCTTGATGGCAGGCGCTCCCTCCTTGTCCACCGCTCTCTCCCCATCCAGTCCACCCTCACAATGATGCGGAGACACTGTGGACACGACGTCCCAGCAACATCGTAGCTTCAAACTTGTTTTCCGTGTCAAATGTATTTCACTGGCGTGCAAAAACCCGTGTTGGGCGCACCAAAAGGCGACCGATGACTCAAGTATCGCCTTTGCAAAGCATACTAAGCATGCGTTGAATCTTGCAGTGAGCCGCCTGCCGCCACCACGCCCACCGACCCGCACCCGCACCCCACCTGCTGCGCGCAGCGCCCCGCCGCTGTACAGTTCGCCTCCTACACCGCCCCGCCGCCCCGCCGCCCCGGGGACTCGTTCACTCGAATCGGAGTGGTGCGCTCATTACTGCCCAAACGGCGCGGTGCCCGCTGGCTTGGCTGTTGCTGCGTGTCTGACGGTGTCTGTCCCCGGCGGCCTTGGCGGCGCGGCCCTCGACGGCACGGCGGCCTGCTGGGCCTGCCGGTGGTGTTGACCCCAGCGCACACGAAAAAAAGGCGTTGTTCCCTGAGATGAAAAAGTCACGAGGGGGCAAAAACTCGGGATTTTCGTGTACACATGATTCGGAAAACGCAATGATTGCGCATGGTTTTAATTGATTTCATGGCTGATTTTGCCTTATTTCGCGACGCACCAGGGTGATGTTGAGCGTGATTGCGTGTGATTGTGTTCGGAAAGAAATGATTTCGGACTGATTTGGCCTGGTTTCGTGTGATTCTGCCTAATTTCGGTCGATTTTAGTGATTTTGGCTGATTTCAGATTGCTTGATTTCACGTGATTCTCAATGATTCGCGTGTGATTTCGGGGGCCGTGTACACATGATTGCGCGAGTTTTTGCCCCCTCGAAAAGTCATAACCAGGACTAAAATTTTGGGAGAAGTGAACCGAGGTGAGCGTTACTATCAAAATTTGGATAGGGATTATTTCATCACACAAATTTGGGTTAGCTTAAGTCTCGTTGGGTTCGCCCAGTGCGCCGAGCAGCCGCCGAAGACCTCTGACCCTTTCGGGACCGTTCGGGACGGCGGCGGCACGGCCGCACGGGTAGCGCAAGTACCGCGGGGCGAACCTCGGGTGTGGCTCCCAGTTCCCAGACAACGTCCACTGTGGCTCCCAGTTCCCATTTTCTTACTCACAGCTCGCACCCTGACCGCCGCAGCCAGGCCGCACCCAGGGGCCGCCGCGCGCCCCGCCGCCTTGGGCGTGGTCCCCGAGAGGCGGATCGATGCCAAACCCGCACCTATGTACTTCACCGAACCACTGCTTGTTGTTTGGCCACGCGGTGCTTCATTCAATCGACGACATGGAATCGCAATCTTCGTGGCAGAGGCATGAGCCTCCGTGAACAAATTTATGGATGGGTGGGTTCAGGCAACATGGTGATGAGAACCCACATTATCGCGAAGAGTCTGAAGATTGGTGCTATGTGGGGGCACGAGGGCCATGTGACTGTCAGAAAAGGGGCGTTGAAAGTTGACTAGATCAGTGTCGAAATGATCGCAATGCGCGAGCGAAGGTTCCAGGAGCACTGCAACGCTAGAGCGTCCTCTCTTTCCCACATCGCAAACTCAAGTGTGGACATGCATGGGCACAAGCCAATAAATAATCGCACTGATTACCAATATTTGTACAGGTCACAAGAATTTCAATGGCAGTTTTAACAGTTTATTACAAAGTTCCCCTGATCAGTTAGCCCTATTGCTATTCTTGGTTCCTCGGCTCCTTGAAATTGCCTACATTCAGGGGACAACATACAGCGCTGCGCCACGGACCCGCGGGAACTACTGATATGGCGGGAGGTTTTGAACTTGGAACATATCAAAAAAGGTTTGGGAAGTAAATTTTGATCCGTATGACCTTAATTCTAATGAAGATGCTTCCCATGATAAAATATTGTGGCCTAAAGTGGATCCCAGGCACATGATTGACTACTTTTTGGTGTTCCCAAGAGCTCGGGTTGGGGTGGTCCGACTAAAGCTTTCTCGACATCTTTTATTTTAGACCTAATTTTTTTTCTTTAATTATTGATTGACTATTTCTTTGTTTTGTGATCACTGATCATGTTAACCTAATGTTTCATTAGAACTTCAATGTAACTTCTTCTTGAACAATTGAGTGAAAAACTTACTTATGCAGCTTTTTTCTTTGACTTTTTGTGCGCAAATGAAGTGAAAAACTAATATTCCCCACCTTAATTTAGAAATTGTTTTTATTAAATCTTAATATATACTAACAAATTGTTCACATGCTCGCCCTTACTATCGCAGTTAAGAGAGAATTATGGCTGTAGTGTCGATTTCTTTATAAACTGTGATAAGGGCGAGCAAGTGAGCAATTTGTTAGTGTATATTAAGATTTAATTAATACAAACTTTGAACGAAGGTGAGAAACATCAATTTTTCTCTTCATTTGCGTACAAAAAGTGAAAGAAAAAAGCTGCATAAATAAGTTTTTCACTCAATTGTTCAAGAAGAAGTAACATTGCAGTTCTAATGAAACAGTAGGTTAACATGATCAGTGATCACAAAACATACAAAAGAAGTCAATCAATAATTCAAGAAAAAGCAGTAGGTCTAAAAAAAAAAGATGTCGAGAAAGCTTTAGTCGGACCACCCCAACCCGAGCTCTTGGGAACACCAAAAAGTAGTCAATTATGTGCCTGGGATCCACTTTAGGCCACAATATTTTATCATGGGAAGCATCTTCATTAGAATTAAGGTCATACAGATCAAAATTCACTTCCCAAACCTTTTTTGATATGTTCCAAGTTCAAAATCTCCCGCCATATCAGTAGTTCCCGCGGGTCCGTGAGGTAGCGCCACGGGTCGCCGATGTTAGCAGCAGGCCAGAGGAAGGTAGAATACACGTGCAAAATTCCTCTACATGAATAGGATTTATGGCAGTTGCTATACATGTATAGGATTTTTCCGATACATTTTTGGTCCGTATACCAAAAAACCTATACAAATCGGAAAATTCCTATGCATGTATCGGAATATCGGTATTTCCTATACATGAATAGGAATTTTGCTAGACCACTGTATGGTAAAATTCCGATCACTTTATACAGTGTGCTTCCGGTTGAAACATGCCGCTGCAGGCCGCTTCACTTGTAGCGTGCCTTGTAGCATTTCTTCTCCAGCATGCCTGGCATACACTCCACCTGGGCCATGCCATAAGGTAGATCAACAGTGTACACGCAGATATGCGCCACCTGACGTGTAATCGAATCGGCAGGCGTGCTCAAGGTGGAGTGTGCATGCCGGGCATGTGTGGATAGTACAACAAAAGTACAACAAAAACTGTACAATAAAAGTACAACAGGAAACCACAACCAGCCCTAGACTGCCCAGCACTCGTCATGCCGGTTCCGTTGTACTTTGTACAACAATTGTTGTACTTGAAAAGTACACTAAATTCCTGATAAAAAATTTGCCAGATATTTGTGTACTTTTGTTGTGGTTATTTTCTGCAGTGTGTAAGCCCTTGAGTTTGTGGAGCACACAATTCCTCACCCAAAATTTTAGTCCTGATCATGACTCTTTCATTTTCAGTGTACACGTGCGTGCCCGACCAAGAGCGTTATTAAAGTGACGACCCCGCGTATATCACTCACCGCGTCGGTCGGGTCGCAGTCCAGGGCGGCAGTGGCGGCATCGTCGCTCCCCTGGGCATGGTCGGCCAGGGCCCCGACTGCCCCGAGCCCTCTGGGGCCCTTCATGGCGTGGCGGGGCGCGCGGTGGCGGCGCTGCGGGTGCGTCTCGGGGTCGCAGGCGTCGCGCTGGCGTCCCGACGCTGCTCTGCGGGAAGTGGTGCGAAGTCGCCCTGCTGGCGGCCCGGCAGCCACGCCGGCCACGCGGCCACGCCCACCTGTGGCGGGGGTGCCAGCCAAAACGGCCGAAACAACGAAGTGGCACGAAACACTGCACTAGAAAACCTAACAAACTATTAAGCCTTAAGAAGTAAAGTTGCTTGATGTAACAAAGTATTTTGAGCATAAGTAAGCGTTCAAAGAGACTTCCTAATTTACGAACCATTTCTACGTATTGTAAACCAAATAGTTTTGTACCTTCTATATGCTCAAAGTACTTCGAAAGGTTTGGTGTGGTAACACTGGTAGAGCTGAAACGTACTTTCACGCCCTTCTTCAAGCGCAAACGGCAAAACCATCTACCAACCGATCCCTGAGAATCCCAGGAGATATTTCTGGGAATCCCTGGAGATGGATTAACAGTGCAGTGGTTGCTGCGCTCAAACTTAGTTGTACATATGCTTGAACGATGCACACAACTGTGCATCAGTTTCACCTGTGTGGGGCTGTGCCTCCAAATGGCCGAAGAAGAGGGATGTCTTCGACCGAATTTGTAAGTATAAAACTTTTGACGAGGGGCACGGGGCATTGTCCCACCCCTAGCACAACGCACCACCCTGCCCTTTCTCAGCCAGCACGGCGCCAGCGCGGCCCCTCCCCGCGGCCCCTCCCCGCGCACCCCGCCACTGCCTCCATGGAGACAAGCTACTAACGTAGGGAGACGCAAGGTCCCGCTTCCTGTCACCAGGTCATGTAGTTTGGAGGGAGTGAGACAGACATACTTCGGAGTTTCTTTTTAACACTTTACATTGAATTGGCGATACTTTCGTCACATCCGACTACTCTTATGATAGTTTCTATCCTGTAGGATGACGAAGATGACATTTGTCACTCGAAATATCATCGACATAAATAAAGTCTTCAGTTTCGTAGGTTAGAAAATCGGACCTCTCTCTCGCGAGATCTGACATGACCTGGTGACACGCAGTTCTCGTGGTTTATTTCAGGGAAATATTCAACCGATTGCCAAATAAAAGGTATTAACATCATCAATGATCCTTCCTGATTCCATAGACCAGATAAAATTGGATGATTATCGCAATTAAATAGTTTGAAAGTGTTGAAATACCGGAGGGTGTCCCAAACCTTGCGTCTCCCTACGTTAGTAGCTTGTCTCCATGCTGCCTCGCATGACTCGCTCCGCGCACTCGGCTCAAAACGCCACGCCCAGCCGCGCCAGTCAGCACGGTGTACCTCGGTGTACCTGTTGTGGACCGCGAGGTGGACTTCCTAGTCGTCGGGGTCTTCCCGTTTTCTGTCGACAATGTTGGCGAGCGCAGCTACCGCTACGTCCAGGGCCTAAATGGCCCTCGAAATGTTGTCCGAGGGAGTGCTTCAGCGCAACATACCCAAATTTGAGTCATTTTAATTTTTTGCCAAAAATCGTCAAAAAACCATGCCCAAGGCCTTTTAGAGCCAAAGATGGTCGACCACCTCAGATTTGTCTGGAAGTTTAATGGAACGTTGCTTTAGGTCTAAGAAATAGATGCGCCCGGTGCCCAAAGGTCTTTGGCGCATTCTGTTTGGTGTGAATCTGATTTTTTTCTGAGCCTCTGGTTGCGTTGCCAAAGCTGTGGACGATGGGATGCCTGCCTACGCGGCGCATGCTGAGAACATTCCAGTTTTTGCCAGTGAAAGAACTTCAATAGTGTCGGGAGTCTTATGGGAGTGAAAGAAGAAAAAGGAAGCATCTTTGAATATGGGACTTTTATTATACAAAAGGTTCGTTGTCATGGTACAAAATGTAGTTTTCAATACTAATTACACTAATTACATTTAAACATACAAAAACAATATTTACAAATTCCTTTCAAGAAATGGATACATTACAATTTAGTATTTGGTATGAGCTTAGATTTATACAGAAGCTTCAGATCCTTGTAAACATATTTTTGCCATGAGCAATATTGCACGCTTCTAAAACTCACCGGTTTCGTGTTTTAATCAACTTTTCAGTTAGCAGTTAGTGGAAAGAAACACCATTAGGTCAATTTACTATTTGACTCAATTCAAAATGTACAAGGTTTTTGTCATTGGCATAAATAATTTAAACTCACCTAACATATATATAATTAATACATAGAAAAATGGCAGAATCTTCATTACATCTTAAAATAAGGCACTTCGATTAGCTTCTTATTATACAAGTTGAACCATCAAATTTACAGAGTAAACACTGGTAACAGATCAGATCTACAAATGTTATTTTGCAATTTAAATCCTAATTTTGAGGTTTACTGGTTCTAGCTTGACCTCAAAAGGCAAAGGTAGAAAAACCAATCAATTGTAGGCTTAAATATCTATGAAAGGAATGAGTCACTGACATGGAATAAATTTTGTCTTCTGATATTATTATCACCTTAAAATGGCTATTTACAATAATTAACATTTTTTCAGGCCTGACAATAAAAATCCATTGTACCAGTCCTTGTTTAAAACATCACTAAAATACAGACAGCACAGTGTCAAATATGAACAGCCTGCACACAATAGTTCCTAATAAATATGAAATCAACATCAATGCAATTCTTCAGAGAAAATGGAAGTAGTATTTGACACGCTCGTACCGTACTAAGCGTGCATGATGTGATAGACAGTGAAATAAATACTTGATGTGCTACATAGGTCTATTCAAATCACATAAATAATGGATGACACTCAAGTTTTAAAAAAAATCATCAGTCACGGCACTTGGTTAAAAACAGATGAAAATTGTTGCAAAACTTGTCGAGCAGAGACATTCCAATCATAAAATTACAATTAAACACATACTTGTGACATAGCTTCAAAACCAAGCAACAGAACAAAACACACAAAAGAGAAGCAAAGGTAAGGTGAAATAAAATGTTTCTTCAAGTAAAGTTACATTTGCAAACAGTATGGCAAAAAGAAATAGCATGCATGATTTAAAAGCCTTCAAGAGAAGACCTGCATACCTAGCAAATGGAACCTACTGCATCATGTTAAAAAATATTGGGAAGCTAAAATTTGTAACCCAAGCATTACATCAACACCACATTAAAATTAAGGAAAGAAAGATGGACAGAAAGGATAATGTGGCCAAGTACTAATCTTCACATTTTGCTGCATGATGACACAGGGGTAAATTGTACTTTGTTCATATTGTGTGAGGTACACAAGTGGGTTTCATACCCTGTTATTAAATATTATTATCAGAGCTTAGAGGATGTCTGGAATCTAGTTAGCCACATTAAGTTACTATTACTCAAATCTACATGGCAGATGAAAAGGTGAGCTGAGCTGTGGATAAGCACCAGCCAAGAAATAAAGCCTCTATGGATTTAGAAATGTACAGTAAAGTACATCATAGCTAAGAATCAGACTTATGATGTCATTGTTCATTTTTTATATTAAGTATATCTTTTAGGTATAAGGCTATAATTCAGTTGTTTCAAGCTTCTTAGATATGAGAGGATTACTGAGTTTGTCCAAATGTTGGTACAGGTTCTGATGATAAGTCGACATAGTGCCTATTCGATTTAAGTCATTCTGCTCTTTAAGAGGCGCTACAGAGACCGTGACTGTGGCCGTTTCGCTTGAAGCTCCAGCTGGCAGCATGTTAGACCGGCTGCAAGCAGAATTACATAAATAATATGGCTTGGTGAATCGTAGGAGCAAAGCAACTATTTATTATGATTAGAAAAAAGTTGAAGTGAGACTCCTATCATACCTATTGCAAGAGTCACTGTACACTGTTTGACGTTCGCTGGAAATGAAGGTTCCTCCATTGGGTTGAGGTGCTGAGCGAATTGCTTCGGCATGGGAAGTGACTGCGTTCTCATCCAAAGAGTCTCTGTCAGATGTTTGCCTGCAAAAATCACTCTTGATGATACTCAAGACTTACTTAGGGTAGGTAATATCAGTGAGACTAGAGAGTATCAACTTACACTTCTGAATCTTCTTCCTTATACCACTCATTTTCATACGCCTGCATCCATATGGGGTTTGACCCTTCAGTGCTGTGCATATTTGTATTAGGCACCCTCCCTGTCGCCTGCCCAAGGGCTGAGTCAGTGGAGCCTAAAACACCAAAAGCTGTTAGAAAAGACACTTACATTCCATGTTTTCTGAAAAATAGGAGCTCTGTACTAACCAAAGGCTGTTGTGGTGGCTGCTTTCAATTGTCTCTGGTATGAAGCTCTTTGAGAGAGGCATATTGAAAGTACTAACAGGAGCAGCAATCCAAGGAGCACAGTGCTGCTTACTAACCACACCCAAACTAGCTGCTCAGCTTCTGCTTTGAGGGGCACAGCCTCAGCTGGCATTGTATCCAGTACATTGAACTCCTTGAACAAAGAGTCAAGGCTTTCAATGTTCTGATCAACCAATCTCAATACATCACCAACTTCCATAATAGAGTTGTCCCTCCTATTCACAAAGTGTAAGTAAAGGTCTGTTTTGGTTTTGTCTACTGAGCCATCATGATTTTCATGCACTTTGTACTCGTCTACATTTACTATGGCACCAGTTACATTGCCTAGTACTCTGTAAACGAGAAGAATCACACATTGTTTTAGTTTTTGGTAAGAACATGAAACAAGAAATTCAAAAAATAAGAAATTGAATATTATTTTTCACTCTTTACTTACTCTCTCAAAACATCAATCTTTTCACGAACTTCTGGTGGGTGCTGACGAAGCACAAATCTTACTCGTTGGTCTTCTCTTAGCAAATAGATGAAAACCCTTGCCATGTCTTGAAGACCACCAGTATCATTGGCTAAAACCTGAGTAAAAGAATTGAAGGAATTAAAATTGCTTACCCTCATGTACAAAATACAGAGCAAAGCAGTGATTCAAAAGTGAAACTCACCATAAAATCAAAGTACCCTTTCATTCCCCGCTGCGGATCAAAATTGAGGTGGACACCGCCTGTATCTCGGTCGACCAAAAATGGAGGATGCTGGATATTCTCCATTCCTTCACTAAGAGTCATTTGGACTCTTCCAATTTGGTAGTAATTCACAACAGCATTGGCCCCTTCATCAGGATCCACAGCCTAGGAACACAGAAAAATTGTAAAAAGATCCAATTTGCTGTGAACTATCATTCAAGTTTACATTCAATGATCTTTTAACAAGGCTTACCGTAACTTGCATGAATTCTGTCCCAAAGTCTGCCTCAGTAGTCACTCCTCCAGTAAATACTTTTTTGACGAAATGAGGTGGATTATCATTAATGTCTGTTACTTTCACTATCACGCGGAGAAGAGTGTCATCTTTAGGATCAAACATCCAACCATCAACTAAAGAAAAGTTACCAGTGAAGTCAGATGGCATGTACGAAATATTGTTAGAAGGATCTAAAGCCTTTGCATCTCTAGGAGATGGTCTGTGCAAACAATCCTCAGATGCTTTGATGAGAAGCACATGCTCAGAGGCTCTCTCCCTGTCCAGTTCCTTGGCAACCTGGAAAAGTAAATGATAATGAAAGACAATCAAAAGACACAAACATGAACTAAAGCTCAAAATACACATGATGAAGAATTTAGGTTTCCTACCAAAAGTTCGTGGCGGAGTGGTTCCAGGGCAAACAGACCATCTTTGTTTCCAGCCACGATGTAATAACAGACTGGAGTTGGAGGATCATCTAATTCATCCACCTCATCTCTGTCAACTGTATCAATTAAAATACGTCTTTCCTGGCCAGGGAGGCTGTGCTCTTTAAAATTTAAAAAAAAGGAGAAGGGAAAATTTTAAATATCTGTTTGACACTGTCTAAGAGAGAGTTATGGCATAAGTTCAAAACTACTGTACCTGTGAAATTGACAGTGAATTCATCCACAAGGAACTGCGGCTCATAATCATTAACATTACGGACATAGATTGTTAGATCCAGGTCTGATGACAAGGGAGTAGGAATGCCCAGGTCATAAGCCTCTACTCGCAACTGCAATGGTTCACAAATTAGATTGATACGTACAAAAAAGTTTACTCTGGCACACTTGTTAACGAAAATTTGCTAACCTGATATGTCTTTTGGCGCTCTCGGTCAAGAGGCTGGCGAAGCTGTATGATACCACTGACATCATCAATAGCAAACGTTCGCCAGTCCCCAGATAAGTCCTGTCTTAAACGGTACCGCACTGCACCATTAGGGCCAATGTCTTCATCAACTGCTTCCACTTGAATAACAGTGCTACCAAGTGTTGCATTCTGAAACATAAGAAAATTGGCTTGTAAGTCTTTTTAAGTTGATAAAGAAATTGGCCAAGGTGAAAGAGACATCAACTGATTTGACTTGCCTCCGGCACTCGTATTGTAATGTTGTGAGGTGGACTAATGAAATGTGGTGCATTGTCATTGATGTCAAGAACACAGATAGACAGATCCATTGAAACAGAGTTAGGGGGAGACCCTAAATCTTGTGCTGATAGTTTCAGGGTGTAATTGCCATAGCGAGCTTTCAGAGAAGTTGTTGACACAATTCTGGCAGACCACATATCAATATTTTCAATTTTGAACAGGTCTAAAAGGAGAAAAAAAAAGCACATTAAACATTTTTTAAACCAAGAGATTACAACATAACGGAATAATGATGTGTTTGAAGGACTCAAAAAATGTCCTCAAGCAGCACCCGCAACAAACCTTGATCATTTCCACTTGCAATAGCAAACTTGATACGACCATTGGGTGTGTTTGGATCATCTGCATCAGATGCTTTGACTACTGTTACAGTCTCATGTGGCTCATGGAACTCCGAGATATGTACACAGCCATTTATGGGTTCAAATACAGGAACTTCATCATTCACATCAACTATGTTAACACTGTAGAAAAATTCATGTATCATTTGAGGAAGTTACTACATTAAAGTTTCAGTTTAAATAGCCATTTTGAACAAACAAAAATTATTCAATTGCACTAACCCAATTTGTTTAAAGGCATTGCGACTTTCTCCACTTGCATATCCAAATTGGTAATTATCCCATGCTTCAATAACCAACAGATAAGAGCTTTGTTCTTCTCGGTTAAGCTTGTCGGAGACATTTAGGACACCAGTATCAGGATCAATTTGGAATTTCCCCTGTAAAATATAAAAATGATTGAAGTTATAAATATGTAACAAAGATCTATTTACAAAAATTGTTACACAAAAATGAAATTTGTAAAAAAAATGTTTGTTTACCAAAGAGGAAATTCTGTCCAAAAGGAAAGTGACTTTTCCATAGTCACCAGAATCAGCGTCCTTAGCTTGAATTGTTGCAATTTCAGTCCCTTAAAATGAAAAGGCAAAATTAACACATGGCATTCAACAATAAAAGAAAATGGTTATTGGATGAGTTCTTACCTATTGGTGCATCCTCTCTCACTGTAATATTTGTTATATCACCAATGAAGTATGGGTTATTGTCATTTTCATCTAGAATTTGGATGAATACTTCAACATGACTGGCTCTTGATGGAACCCCCGAATCAGTAGCTTTGACAGTAAAGTTGAGCCAACTATGCTGTTCAAAGTCAATACGGTTTGCCACTACCATTTCTCCTGTTTCAGCATCCAGGTGAACAAGATCTTGCAATGCTCTTGGAGCTGGGAAAAAATAAAATATTAGTTAATGGTAGTAAAACATAAACTTGATAGCCTAGAATGTCTCCACTAAATTTATACCTTCTAATGAATATGTGATTGTGCGATTTTTGTCAGCATCATCAGCTACAATACTGACAATCATAGAACCTGTTTGACTGTTTTCTGGAATGGATCTCCTATAGAACGGCCGTCGGAACTTCGGGTTGTTGTCATTTTCATCATCAACAATAATAGTCAAAACCGCTACAATACATGGGAATGTACCATCATAAGCAAATAATAAATAATGATGTGTTAAATTAGAACCATAAAATAATGATATATTGTGAAAACATACCTGATGCTATTTGCTTTCCCTTGGCTGCTGCCAAATCCTCTACAACAAGAGCCAGTCTGATACTTTCTACCTGCTCTCTGTCAAGAAGTCGTGCCACTCTCAAAAGGCCATCAAGAGGACCCAATTCAAAAACTGACAGATAATCATATTCAGTACTCTTCACAATGGTTCCTTCTTCATTGCGAGCTTCAGAGTTGTCAGGATCAATGCGAAATCGTAATACTGGCTTGGCATCTAAATCTGTTGCTACAACTTTATACACAGATTGTCCCACCTAAAATGGAGTTGAAAGCATTGTTACACATACTTTATTCTGAAAGAAAAAAAAATCCTCTGCTTTCAATAATATATACTCACTGGTGTATTTTCTCGGACATGAATGGTGCCAGGTTCTTGGAACACTGGTACTTTGTTATTAACATCAACTATGGTAATATTTACAGGAACTGCAGCTTGTCTTTGTCTTGCTCCAATACCTCCATCCAATGCTACAATCACCATTGCGTACAAGTTGCTCTTTGGATCTGATCTGTCTGGATCCAAATTAGCACCATGTGCAACAGACACAATTCCTGTGTCAGCATCTATGACAAACTTATCTTCAGCCCCTTGTTGAATACGGTAGACCACTCGGTTATTTGGTGATGAACCATCTGCATCCCATGCTTTAACCTTTACAAAAAAGGAAAAGATTGTTATTGATCTGAAGCCCTCTCAGACAAAATCATTAATTAACATTCAGGAATGAAATAGTTGAACTCACCTGCAGCACTGAACTGCCTCCAGGTAAATCTTCAGGGATTGAACGCAAGTAATAACCCTGTTCAAACTGAGGAGTATGGTCATTGACATCTTGAACATAGACAGTTACAAGAGCCTGAGACCACATTGGAGGTACACCCAAATCCTGAGCTTGCACCACCATGCGAACAGGCCGGACATTTGGCCCACCACTTTCTTCTGGCGCAGCTCTTGTACCCACAAGTTGTTCAAAGTCAATTGGGGCAGTTGGTTTTAAGACACCCGTAACAGGATCAAGACTGAAGTTTCCAAAAGGATCACCATCTATTATACTGTAATGTATCATACTATGACGAGTTCCTGAAAATAATGAGGGTATTGTTATTGAAGCTTTGGTTTGAAAATGGCTCAAAGGAGACAGTATTTTATTTACCATTCAGATCTAGGTCCCTTGCTTCAATAACAAGAGGAGATTCAAATTCAGTGGAGTCTTCCAACAAACGGGCCTCATATTCACTTTGTAAAAATTCAGGAGCATTGTCATTCACATCAGCCACATTTACTACAAGCTGCACAGTGTTTCTGAAGGTAGAGGGGAAAAAAGAAAATATAGCAACAGATCCTTGTTCAGATCATAATGCATTAATAATACAGTAATAAAATTAAAAATTTTTTTTCCTGTTTTGTGCTTACCTGTTTCCTCTTCCAAGGTCATCTCTTACTTCTACTGTGAGGTAATGACGAGATGCCTGCTCCCTATCAAAACTGGTACCCTCTGCTTTGATTGTAATGATACCAGACAGGGGATCCAGGTGTAGACTGCAAAGAGAATCAATAAAGTGTTACCTCTCAAATTTTTTCTTAAAATAAAAATAAAGAAAAAAACAAAAAACAACGCAGAACCCAGGATAGTTTAAAGAAATTCTAAGATACGTACATATCTGCCACACTGCCACGCAATTCAGTATAACGAATACCAGCAGTGCCAAATTCCCCAGAATCAGCATCTTTGGCAACAATTTTGGCCACGGTTGTTCCCTTCAATGAGTTTTCAGGGACAGAAACCTAAAACAAACAGAATAAATTACAACCAGAACCTACCAGTAAAGCCCTACAAATCCTCATAATGCATTGAACCATAAAGTACCTCATAAACATTTTTATCAAATTCTGGAACATTATCATTGGAATCTCTTATATGTACAGTTAGTGGAACAGCACTGTACTTAGCATTATTAGGTACAGTTTCTTTGGCCACCAGGGTAAAATTCATTACTGTAAAGAGAAACACAAAATGAATAAAGGATTGTGATGCGTTTAGAGGTTTTTTCTAGAGTTTGCACTTAGCATGGCATGATGATACCTTTGGTCTTCTCATAATCCAATTTAGATGAGTCTTTGACCCGTACAAGAAATGCTGCCTCATTTATACCCTTTGGAGGAGTCACTTCAAAGATTCCTCTATCTCCCTCGATGAACATCATGAATGTGCCATTATTACCCTAAAACAAAATGTGTTATGGTCAATTGTTGAGAAGATTAATATGATTAACTTAATTAAAGCAAGTACACATTCGATCAAAGAGTATTTTGGCATACCTGATCATGATCAAACACCTCTGGTACCGCATTTCTTAGAAATGTAACAGGAGTATTAATAGGAGCATTTTCATTAACTTCAGCAAAATATGCTGGGCTACGGAATGTAGGAGTTTCATCATTAACATCCATCAAGATAACTGTTACTTCTGTTCTCGTAGTTGGAGGTGGCTGCACCAACTTAGAGTCTTCTTGAGCCTATTGCAAGAAAATAATTGTAAGCTACAAGTTTCTGTGGAAACACAAGCAACACAAGCAGTAATAATTATTTCGCATTTGTACCATGATTTCAAGAATATAAGCGCCATTGTTTGTGAGAGGTCCTTCTCGGTCTAGTTTCTGAAGGGTAAACACAATCCCAGTGTTAGCATCAATTTCAAATACACCATATGCTCCTCGAGTTATGGAATATGATATTGGGTTGTTGATCCCTCGATCGCCATCAACTGCTTTCACTGCAAAATAGAAGGCCATTGAGTACACTAAACTTTTCAATAACTTGACTTACAATGGAAAAAGTATTTGTAGAGTCTTACCTTGTAACACGGAGGTGCCAATACGAGCATCTTCACTAACTCTTGAGACAGCAGGGACAACAACAAATTCAGGAGGTTGGTCCTCGACATCTTGAACCTTAACTAAAATGGCTGCTGTTCCAGTATTGACCTGCCAGATAGATATCCACTTGTTACAAACAGCACTCAGCAAAGAAAACCAAACACTAAACAGGAAAAGCAATTCTTCAGTTAAATAAGGCAAATAATCAAAGAAAGTTACCCTCTCATTGATAGCACGATCCACAGCCAAGACCCGAATTTGGTAAAGGAATTTGCGCTCATAGTCAAGGTGGCCAGCCAACCTTAACACACCCTTTCCGTTCACTGTAGATATTGAGAAGAGATCGTCGTCGCCATCCAGCTCTTGGAGGTAGTAAACGACCTGCGACAACAGCAACCAACAAAATTAACTTAACCTGTACACCGACGATTTTCTCCCAAGCAAGTACAAATTGTCCCTTAAAATCACTAAAACAAATAAAAATGCCAAATTAAATCGCATGGTCAAAGAATGACACTTCTTAATTCATAAATAAAGCTAACATTTACAGGCGATCGGCATCTTCGTTTGCAAACAATTGCAAGTAAACACCGAAGAGTTTGTCATACTGACTGGAGTCCCTGGAGCTGAGCCTATGAAAAATTCACAAGGCAGTTTTGGGACTTCCCCCAAACTGCCTCGAGCTGCTCGAACTCAGTTTCTACCCTCAAAAGGACTCCTAGGACGTAATTAGAGTCGAGCTTGTGCTTCTTTGGTACTTCAGCGCGCCGTCCGCCTGAACGACGCCATGAACGACGTCATGAAGGCGGGCAAGTGAGTGAGGGGAGGGGTCCTGACCTGTCCGTAGGCGCCCTCGTCCAGGTCCGTGGCCTCTACGGTGGCCAGCACGCCGGGCTCCGCGTCCTCGCGCACCGTGATGCTGGGCGGGTAGGGCTTGAACACGGGCTCGTTGTCGTTGACGTCCTCCACGAGCAGCAGCAGGCTCTGCGTGATGAAGTTGCCGTCGCCGAGGCGGCCGTCCGTCAGCGTCAACACCAGCAGGTACTCGTCGCGGACCTGCAGAGCAATACAAGCGGCGAGCCGTGAAATGAAGAAGGAACATTATGCTGACGTGTCGTTGCGTGGAGAGTGAGCGCCTGCGACACGGCGGGTAGGCAGTCCCGTCGAGCAGGTGAGCGCCGCGGGTTGCCCACCCGCCGTACCGCAGGCGTTCCGACTGATCCACACTCCACGCACCTCCCTGTCCAGCTCCTTGTTGAGGTACACGTTGGCCTCGTTGGTGCCCAGGTTCTCGATGCGCAGCATGTCATGGCCCTCCGAGCCGCGCACGCCGAACGTCAGCGTGTCTCCGTCGGGGTCCGCGCCCCGCAGTCGGTAGATCAGGCTCCCTGAACGGGCAAGGTCCAAATTTCATTTCGGCGAGCTCACCGAAAATAGCAAAAATGAATGACGGGAAGCACACTCACCGACGGGGGTCTCGTTGCCCTCCTTGAGCCTGAGCACGATCTCGGTCTGCCCGTCGATGAGGAAGCGCGGAGGGTGGTTGGCGGCGACCGGCGACGCCTGCAGCAGCACGAGCAGCACGGCGGGCAGCACACAGGCCAGCGGCCAGTGCAGCGGCCAGGGCCACGGCGGCGGCATCAGGGCCTGCTTGGGCTGCCGCTTGATGCGCACGCGACTCGTGCTGCCCTCTTCGCGGAGCCTGGCGGAACTAGGCGGCATGTCGGCGCCCCGGCGTCGTCGGCGTCGTCGGCGTCAGCGTCCCGGTGCACACCGTGTAGACACCGGCATGCCGTGGCGGCCGCGTCCCCTGCGCGCCGCATCACATCGCTGCAACACAGAGTGGGGTTCTCAGAAACAAAAGGCCGAGCGTCGTCTCTTTACTTACGTACTAAAAGGAAAACGCGCCGGCCCGGCGGCCCTGCCCGGCTCGGCTCCGTTCGCGTTGTTACGGTTATGTTTCTCGTTAAGCGCCGCGGGTTGGCCTCTTGGCCCCCCGGCGAGCCGGCCGGAGCGGAGCGACCCGAGGCCCTGTGAAGACACCTCCATGCACCGAGGCGACCGAGGCGGTGGACGAGGACGGCCTACAGGGCCTGCTGCAACTGGGTCGCGTCGCCTTGCCTGCGCCTGCCTGCCGGCCAACCTCAGCCGTCAGCCCCCTCACGGCCGCGCGGACTGACCACCGCGTCGACCACCGAGACCACCACGGGGTCGTTCCGCCGCGGTTCCTTATGCCGCGCCCGCCACGCACGCGCCCATGTGTTATGCGCCGTGTGCCATGGAGAGTGAAATCTCGCGGCTTGCCCGGCCTGCCCGGCCCGACCACCGTGACTGTGGTCAGCGCCGCCATTGGCCGATGATGGCCGGCATCGGCAGCGGCAGCGCCAGCAGCGCCAACAACGGCCTGCCCTGTGTCGCCGCGCGGCGGGGCGGCCAAGGAGAGCCGACGACGCCGTCGAGGCGAGGACGGCGACGAGGGTGTCGCCCCGGAGGACTTTGCGGTGACGGCACGCCAGCGGGCTGCTTCGTCGCTCTGTGCTCTGTCTCCCTCGCACTTCAACCCTAACGGAACGTCCCATGAGCGCGAGGGAGACAGAGCGACGAAAGACCGTTCAGGACCCGCCTGCATTGCGACCTGTGATTTCTTTCTCCCCCCCCTCCTCCCGGAGGACCATGTGTGCAAGTTGACGGCAGGTCGGACCGCAGTTCGTCAGGCGGAACCGTGCTGGGCCGCCGCGCGCCCCGCCCGCTCTAAATGGATAACACGAACACGATTCAATTTGGTTTCGCGGCCGCTCGCGCAGCCGCCACCGCGGCCCGGCCGGGCCTGGCACGCGCGCGCCGGGAGACCTGGACGCACGGCGAGCAGCGACGGCGGGCCGCGGCGGGCCCATTCCGAACAGTGTCTCGTCGCTCTGTCCGTCACTCCGTCACGTACTCATGGGGCGCCCCACGTAGCCCCACGTAGCCCCGCGTAGCCCCGCGTAGCCCTGCGTAGGCGTGCGAGAGAGACAGAGCGACGAGACACTGTTCGGTCCGGAATGAGACTGCGGCTCGCTGCGGCGGCAACAGGCACCAGTAGGCTGATTGCGAGAGTCGTTTTCGTCGCCCTGTCTCTCTCGCACCTGTACGACACGCTCCATGAGTGCGAGAGAGATGGAGCGACGAAAACGGCTCTCGGAATCAGTCTGCAGGTGCCGCGCAACGCAAATGCGCAAACGCACGGTGTGGCGTCACCGAACATGCTACGGCGGCGCGGCGGGTCAAGCGAGCGAAGCCAAAGCGAAGCAAGACCACAATGCGTCGCAGTTTTATGAGAAATTAGTGCGCGGAGCACGGGCTGAATAAAACATGGTGGGACTGCGCGGAAGGCAGCAGGTTGATTACAAACAGGGCTTTCGTCGCTCGGCACGCCGCACGGCCCATGAGTGCGAGAGAGATGGACCGAAGGCGGGCCGCCCTGCCGCCGGACAGCCCAGATTGCCCCCTGTCGCCTGACTCGCCCGCCGCGATGAGCAGCAGACTGATTCCGAGAGTCGTTTTCGTCGCGCTGTCTCACTCGCACCTACACGGGACGCCCCATGAGTGCGAGGGAGACGGCGACGAAAAACGGCCCTCGGAATCAGTCTGCAGCGCGGAATCTCGGCCTCGAGGCCTCGATACCGCAAGGACCTACTCTCGGGGAGCGTGCGCGACACGCGACGCGACACGCCCTCGGACACGGCAGCACGGCAAGGTCGCGTGCGGCGTGACGCACGTGGGACGCGGGACGGCGCGGTGCTCCGAAGACGCCCAAAGTCGACCTAGCAAAAGGCGGGGCAAAAGTGAAGTGAGAAAGAAAGTATGGGAATGGTGCTTCACACCCGCATTGTCACGTGGGAACATCGGGCCGGCTGCCCCGGCGGGGCGCCTCGTTGGCCGCCAGCCCCGTCTGTCCGGCCCGGCTTGCCCGGCTTGCCCGGCTTGCCCGGCCGGCCGCGGGACGCGCGGCTCGATCACTTTGGCGGCGGCCGGGCGGCGCTGGGAGTCGCGGGTATCTCGGAGTATCTAGCGTTCCCGGCGGCACCGCGGCACCGCGGCACAGCGGAACAGCGGAACAAGGTGTCGGAGGAAACAATTACGCGTTATCGCGGACCCCAAACCCCAAACCACCCGGCCAGGCCAGCGGAGCGGACCCTCCGAACAGAGCTTTCGACGCTCTGTCGCCCTCGCACCGCTGCGGAGCGCCCCGTGAGTGCGAGAGAGACAGAGCAAAGGAGCCTGCGGGCCCCTCCACGGTCCGGCCAAATTCGGTTGGACACAGCGGGCGGCGCGGCCAGCGGGGCCTGCAGGGCGTGGACGAGGAGGCGGCCGGGGCCGGTGGAGCCAATTGCAATTAGTATTCCTTATCAATCACCAGGCCGGCCGGCCGGCCCGCCAACGGCACAACGGGATCATCACATCGGTTCGCAGCGTTCGCAGTCTTTTCTGTTTCCGGCGCTAAAGGGTGCCGCCCGGAGAAAGGCGGCAAGACAGAGACAGGAGATGGCGTCGTAAAACGGCCGTAAAACCGCGAACGCGGTGACTCCCTGTCCGCGACGTCCGCGACGTCTGCGACTCCCACGACGACGACGCGAGTCCTTGCGATCGCGCAACGAAGCCCCTCAACAAACTTTGGCATCTTTTTTTCTGGTGTCTAGACGGGTGACAAAGAGATTATACGCGTGTCCTCGCGCTGGGGCGAACCGTGACCGATGCCTGCCCACACACACAGGCGCAGCAAAAACTGATTCGACCACATTCTGAATGGTTTTCTTTTTGCCGCTCCACCGCGCCGTGGCGTGGCGTGCCGCGCCGTGCCGCGCCGCTCCGCGCGTGTCGGGTGACAAATGGGGTGAGGCCACCGCCGCTTCCCGTTAGCGCCGCGAGCAGCACCGCGCCGCTCCGCGCCGCAACCGCCACATGCCGGTCCTGGTCATCCTGAAACAATCGCGAGGACCTGCCGGTGTCGGCGGACAAGTGTACCCCCCGGCCCAGGGAACCCTCGGGTACAACTCGCCTAGGACCAAGGTACCCGGGGGTACACAACGCCTAGGCTCAATGTACCCCGGGTACCTCAGGTCTGGGGGGTACACTGAGCCTAGGCGAGTTGTACCCCGGGTACAAAAAGCCTAGGCGAGTTGTACCCGGGGTACAAAAAGCCTAGGTGAATTGTATCCTCCCTCATCCGAGGGGAGGATACAACTAGCCTAGGCGAATTGTACCCCGGGGTACAAAAAGCCTAGGCAAATTGTATCCTCCTCCATCCAAGGGGAGCCCGTTAGGTTTGGTTAGGAAAGGTTGTACGATTTCTTTTGAGAATCAGATCTGTCGCGAGTAGAGTAAGATCTGTCACGAGCCCGTTAGGTTTGGTTAGGATTGGTAGGACAATTCAGTTTTAGAAGTCTTCCGTCGGTTCAATTAAAAACCAACCATTGACGCATCACAATCCTGCCGGGGAAGAATATAAATCCCCTCGTCTTGTTGCATCCTCCCTCGGCGAGAGAGGATACAATTCACCTAGGCTTTTTGTACCCCGGGTACAACTCGCCTAGGCTTTTTGTACCCGGGGTACAACTCGCCTAGGCTAGTTGTATCCTCCCTCGGATGAGGGAGGATACAATTCACCTAGGCTTTTTGTACCCCGGGTACAACTCGCCTAGGCTTTTTGTACCCGGGGTACAACTCGCCTAGGCTCAGTGTACCCCCCAGGCCTGAGGTACCCGGGGTACATTGAGCCTAGGCGTTGTGTACCCCCGGTACCTTGGTCCTAGGCGAGTTGTACCCGAGGGTTCCCTGGGCCGGGGGGTACACTTCGCCGCTTACACCGGCACCAGGACGACGTCCAGGACGACGTCCATGACGGCCAGCACCAGCACCGCGTTGACCGCGTCCTCGCCCCCCACCACTAATTGTGGCGGGCACGCCAATTACTGCAGGACAATGGCGAGGAGGCGAAGCGGGCCGGCGGCACCTCACCTCGGGCGAGGCGCGAGGCGCGAGGCGGACAAGTGCTGCTTTGGGCTGGGCGGGCGGGGCGGGCTGGGCCGGCGAGGTGGTGGCCGCGGGCCGCCTTGCGCACCTTGCGCACCTCGCGGCCTGGCCATGCGGGTCTTGATCTAGCGTGGCGCCATTCCGGACAGAGCCTCGTCGCTGTCTCTCTCGCACCCCTACGGGACGCCCCGCGAGTGCGAGAGAGACAAGAGCGGGTCCCGTCGCGTCGCACCGGTGCCGCTGACCGTCGCCGAGATGGATGAGCGGCGACCGCGGACCGCGCGCGTCCAGCGGTGTCCGGGACTCTGGCCGCCTAGTAGGAGGACGAGGTCCAAAAGTCACCGAAACTCGATGACGCGTAAAGTATGCGCGGCCGGGACCGGGACCGGGAGCGGGCTGGGCTGGCTGTACTCCCCAGGACCCCCCAGGAGGATCTCCTTTCCTATCTGGAATCCAGAGACACTGCGGGACTCCCAGGCAGACGGCAGCAAAGCCCAACAAAAAAGCTCTCTGGCGCGCGAACTGTCTGCACCCGCCCGGGGGCCGCGGGCCGCGGCGTGCTCTGCGACGCCGCGATCGCACTGATGGCGGAGAAGCTGAGAGCGAGAGAGTGCGACTAACGGGATGGGCCAGGGCCTCGGCCAGGGCACACCTACACCCACGCCGCGCCGCGCCGCGCCGCCCCGGGGCTGTGTGTCGATGGAGCACCA